TAACCAAACATACTTCAGGGACCCAGCTATCTTGACCTATGAGACCTTAACTGGCGGGCAGAATAACATGACAATCCCTTTCCTTGGGGGTTTGGGGGAAGAAAGGAAAAGAAAAAGAAACGCACCCGGGCTAAGGAACTGATACTTCTCAAACAACGGTTGATTCCTCCATTGCTCGTCACCGTCGTCTTTACCATCACCCTCGCCATCACGGCGCACATGCGAATGCGCCGCGGTGTCCCGATTCATATTGGTCCGCAGCGGGTTCTGGTAGATATCTGTGTCGATCTCGTTGTATATGGCCGGCTCCTCTGTTTCGATACCCGCCGGGGTAAACTCTCTGGGCGTCGTGGTGTATAGCACAGTGTAATCGCGCGACGGGAGGCGGTCGATGATGGCATCAAGGAACTCATCTATCATTTTCATTCAGTTCATATATTCCCGCAAGCACACAGGGAGGACCTCACCCACCATTCTTGACGAGTTGTTCAGATCTATTCGAGTCCGCAGCTACGCTGGCAAAATCAACCCTGAGAACCAGCGGTGTTTTCGTGTATGTCTGTAGTTTTGCGCCTGTTATACAGCGACCCCTCGTCGGAAGCCAGATGATTAGCCAGGCTTTCTTCAACCTCTCAGTCCAACCCGAGTTACAATATGATGTATGAGACCAGAATCCAGAAAAACTCACCCGACACATCAACCCTCTCAACCACCACCCCACACCCCTCCTCCAATACCCCCTGCAACGTATCCACATCCACCCGGCCCACAACTTCACTAACGGCAAAACTCCCCTTCACCTCCTCATCCAGCTTCAGCACCCGCCGCCGTAGCCGCGGCGTGGCATCGCCGGAGCTGTAATCGCGTGCGTGCACGCCCGGTTGCGAGATGAGGATGTAGGTGGCTGCGGAGCAGGATTTGAGAGCGGGGGAGGTGGAGAGGGAGGTGGAGAGTGTGTTTGCGGCTTCGAATAGGCGGGAGGGGACGGGGAAGGCGGTTCTGTGAGTATCATGGGGTTAGGTGGGTTGTTTCTCAATGGGGGGGATTTTGTTCCAGGGGGAGGGGGCGTAAAAAGGGAATGTATGTATGTAAAAGAGGTAGATGGTACGGTAGGTATGTCTAGGGGGAATGGGGGGATGTGGATACTCACTCGTGTGTAGAGAAGAGGAAGAAGGGCGATGTATCTCTGAATGCGTCGACGGTTGTTACCGCTGCTGATGATGCGAGGGCGAAAAGCCCCAGCCTGTTGATCCACATGGTCGCTGCTGAGGGCAAGGCAGCTTGGTGGTATGGTCTGTGGTTATGCGGTTTGTGTATCGAGTTGTACGTTGTTGTACGGAGTATTTATATAGTTACGGATGTTGGAGCTTGAAGCTTGTGTTTGGATGGATGGAAAGCGGCTTGCAGGCGAGTTGACGACATTGGTGGTCTTGGCATCAGAATCGACTTTGCCGCAAACTCACTCCCTCACTCCATGCTACTCAAACTACTCCGTACACACACAATTGTTGAATTGTTGATAATCTAGACCTATTGTTCTCTGATCAAGCAAGTCTAACTTTATCATAAATAGTGCATGTTTTACAATTAGGAATTCCCCAATGATACCCAGAAAAAATACTACATATCTATACGAAATAGATCAGTAAAACATAGAAGCCCATCTCAGAGCCAAAAGTTTCCAATATCTTGCAAGCTCTATATCATAAGTGCTAGTGTAGTGGGAAAGATGAAATGAAAAAGTCCCAACTTTAAGAAATAAAATAGGGAAACATAATCTTAGGAGATCTGGGGGGAAATAACAGAGAATAATTCGACGACTCATGTGGCCGGGGTAGTTAAACTTATTAAAATGAGATACATTCCTTTTCCTTGCCTTGCCATACTTCCCTTCTTATCTTTGTATCTTTGTTTTTTTCTTTAGTGCCACGCGTGCACTTTTCCCACCCCGCTTCCTTTTCTATTTATTTCCTCCCCACCCATTCCCTCCTTTCTATTTATTCCGACACACACACACACATATATATATATACATATCACAACACCACCAAAAGTAGCTCAGCCCCCCATCCCCATCCTCATCCAACCGATCCCAACTCTCAAACACAACCTCATTCAATAATCAAGATAAACAAACTCCCACTCACGCCTTAGCAGGAATATGAGCCGAGGGCACAGATCCATTGCCAACAGCCTTCATGCTCGCCTCGCGGGCACCCGTCAGGGCGAACTGAGATGGGATACCCTCAATGCGGTGGGTGGAATTGATATTCTTCACAGCCATGATTTGCCAGCAGGTGGCGCTGCCCTGGCGCGAGATGATGGTGGAGTAGGCAAGGAAGTATTCCCAGATCTAATGGGGGAGAGAATTAAATTAGGTTTTGCTCTTGTTTTTATGGCGGACAAACTAGAGACAGTGTTAGAGGAATGGAAAACGGAATGGAAAACATACTCTGTACCACCTCTTGCCATACTTGGCCTGTACCTTCTCTTTATTAGCGACCCAGTTCCGGTACCACCGCCATAGCGTCGCGGAATAGTGCACGCCAATGGTGTCAACGGCCCTAATCTCGAACCCAGCACCTTCAAGCCGATCAATAACAAAGCCAAGCGGCGTGCTAGCGTCCGCGCCCGGGAAGATATACTTGTTCATGAACAAGCCCCAGATCAGATCCTCGTACTGCCACGCCTTGCGCAGGCCAGCAATCTGCAGGAAGAAGACGCCGTCGTCGTTCAGCATGTCGTAGACCTGTGAGAAGAAGGAGGCCAGGTGGCGCACGCCGACGTGCTCAGCCATCTCGAGACAGGTGATCTGGTTGTAGCCGCCGGGGACGGCGGGGCAGTCACGGTAGTCAGAGCAGATAATGCGGCTCTGGGATTCGTCGATTCCGGCCTTGCGGAGGCCGTTGTTGCCCCATTTAGTCTGGTTGCGGCCGAGAGTGATGCCGGTGACATGGGCGCCGTAGTGCACGCTGGCATATTTGGCGAGCGTGCCCCAGCCGCAGCCTAGGTCTAGTACCTTGTCACCAGGTTTGATCTGGATCTTTTCGCAGACGATGGCGAGTTTGTTGTCCTGGAGTTCCTCGAGGGTTTCTTCCCTGGTAATGTCGCTGATGATGCCGGAGGTGTAGATCATGCGTGGGCCCAGGAACCAGCCGTAGAAGTCATCACCACGGTCATAATGGCCACGGACTTGCTCCTCATCTGTAGAGGGCGTTAATATACGTACAAATTACACGTCAGAAAAATAAATAAATAAGTAATTAAAATAAATAAATACCTTGGCTACGAGTATGCATGATAACCTCCGGAATCATGCCCGTCAAAAAGAACTTATACAAGCTCATCGTAAAGCGGAAAGCAGCCCAATCATGGCGATACTCCAAGGCCTCAAGACAATCACCCTTGAAATCCACCACACCGTCAAAGTACATCTCATGGAAGGTCTCCATTGGGATCTTGCTCTTGCCGTGGTACCTGGCACGGTCATGCTCGTTGTGGAAGTGCAGGTAGTGTTCGACGGGGCGGCCGGGGTATTTGGCCTTCTCATTTTTGCGAGGGGAGATGGAGGAAGCGACGGACCAGAACGCCATGAGGATGGGGATTGAGGTAAACAGGGCCAGGAAGACGGTTGTGTACAAGCCGCCGCCGATTTGACGGGCGAAGTAGGCTGGGATGAGGACTAGGAGGGAGATGAGGAGGACGTTGGAGAAGCTGTCACTTCCGGCGCCGTCGGCTGGTAAGGGGGCATTTTTGATGGCGGGATACTATACACAACATCAACTCGAATTAGAGAAAGAATTGGCAAAGACAACTGGAGGTTTGTAGTCTAAAACCAATTGATGGGGGGATTGGTTGGTACAAAATAGGTAAAGAAACCAAGCAATTGAAACTCACCGACGTGGTCCGCACACCACAGCTGTCTGACGGGGGAGAAGGGGATGGGGCAGCGGGAGTCTCGATGAACTCGAAGTCCTCGGAGGACTCGGAGTGAGCTCTCGCCATGGGTGTGTTTTGTTGAGCTGGGCTGAAGGGTAGGGAGGGAATTGGAGAGGGATGGAGGTGGAGAGAGAGAGGAGAGGAGAGGAGAAAAGGAAGAGCAAGAAGAGGAGGAAGAGGAAGAGGAAGAGGAAGATGCAGCAGAAGTTATTTAATCTGGTGGTGGTGAGGCAACAAACTAAAATATTTAGCTCCCGGCCCTGTGAACAACACGTTGGAGCTATTATTATTATTATTATTATTATTATTTACAACAGCGTACGGAGTAACTTACTGTGGAGGAAAGTTGAACAATCTCTCAGGCAGACAGCAGACAACACACGGAAAATGAAACCTACTATTATTATAATTGGGAAACAGAGAGCATGCGGGATTGACCGACCTAACTACCTCAATAATAATAACTCCGTACAATGCCTGGTAGGAACAAGGAACAAGCCGCCGCCCTCAACAAAATAAATAATGAAATAATACGCTGCGTAGTAACTAATAATAAGAGTAATAATAGTTTCATCCTTCATCCCCCCCTTGAGGCGCTGAGATCCAGGAACAGGATCCTTGGCGGTTGGGATTATATCATGATTACGCAGTATGAAAAAAGACTCTCTCTCTCTCTCTCTTCTCTCCATTACGCAACGCGTCGTTCCGTCGGCAGACTGGGCAGACTAGCCATGGTTGTTGTTATTTGTATTCTTTTTATTATATATCATTTTACTATTTTGTTATTATTGTTATTCGGAAAACCCCACGTAAATAACATGGCGCTTATCCCCATCCTCGCCGTTGGAGTAACAACCTCTCTTCGCCCGCCAATTCTGATGCGAGATGACACCGCGACTCTTTCGACTAAAAAATGCCCGTATTGTTTTTATTATTATTATTATTCCCACGCTGTAATATAATTGTTTTTGTTATACAATAACGCAGGTTCAAATCTGTAATACCTGAGCAGCACGATCAACCACAAGAAAGAAAGTAGGAAACGCCAAGAGTCCTCTGACGACGCCTTTAAAGATTCAAACAAAACAGAATGCCCCCACACCCAATTGCCCCCCAATTCACATGCCTTTAGTAAATAAAAAAGAGAAAAGATAGAGCAAGGGTAAACCGGAATCGTTAAGATAAAATCACGTCACAACGTAAGCTGGAAATCCGCTGCCTCATCATCCTCCACGCGGAACAGCGCGATCTCCTCCTTCTCCTCCTGCTCCTCCTGCTCATATTCAGGCGCAGAATCAAATAACCCCGCAGCCTTGCACCGCGACCACATCTCGCTCCCAAACGGCGGGCTGCCGTAGACCTCCATATATTTGGCTGGGGAGAGGATATCTGCCGGGTTCTTCGAGCTCGAGGTCGCCTGCCTAGCGGTAGTATTCTGTCTACTAGTAGTCGTGCCAGCAGTCTTCTGCCATAAACTAGATGATACCCGTCGCCCCCTGGAATATCCAACTGTGGTCCGTGAACTGGCCGTGGCAGCCGCATGGCGCATAGTTGACGGGTTGGACGGAGTCGGCTGTTGTTTTTGCTGCCTTTGTTGCTTTTGCTGTTTTTGCTCCTGTTGCTGTTTCGTAGGCCGGGCGAAGCCCGACGAGAACCTGATCTTAGGTTTGGGTTTAGGCTTATGCTTTGGCATAGGGGGAGCAACAGTAGATTGTGGTTGCTGAGAGAGCATCCTCGCAGCAGTGCGCGACTTGACCGTAGAGATGGACCGGTCAACAATGACCCTTTTAGCCGGCTGTTGTCTCATCACCCGCTTCCTCATGATCTCCGCAGCCATCTCTTCAGCACATGGTTCATCGGGGAACTGGCGGACATTGATCCCCAGAAGCTCCATGTTGTCGACTTGCTCCTGGATCAGGGCATCCATCCGCTTATCGTATGCTTCCTGTTCTGCTTTCCTTTCTCGCTCCTTGCGGGTCAATCCATCTTCCCCGACTTCTTCGTCGGCGAATAATTTATGCCACCCGCGCGTGAAGTTCTTGCCTTTGAATTGTGGGAAGTCCTCGTTGTAAGGGATGTCTTCAGGGGGGTCCGGTAATGCTGTGGGAAATATAATGAAAATAATAAGATATAAACCACTTAAATACGCAGTGATCAAAAAATCGGAAAGGATGGGGGAGACTTAGATACGTACGTGTTGGTTTAGGGGGCATATATTCAATATCTGGAACATCCTCCTGCGTGTTTTCTACAGTAACTGCCCTAGGCTGGCTTGGCTGGATTTCAGGAGCACTCTGCTTCAGTTTTCGAGTTGTTGAAGGCCGCTTTACTGTCTTGGCTGGCTTAGATGTACCCAATGGTGGCGCTGGGGTTTGAAAGGAGTTCGCCTTTGCATTTGTCGTTTTCATCCCCAAGGGAGCACGACTTCGCGGGGCTATATCCCAGAAAACAAGCGTCAGATACAACTGTCCAATTATCGAGGACGCGGGGAATACTTTGAAATCAACTCACCCATCGGCGTAACGAGTGCATTCCCACCAGCAATCGTATCCTTCCCCGGCCTTGGGAGGTTCTCATTCTGTCCATTATTCACCTTTCCTGTCTTCCTCCCTCCTCCAAATGCCAGAGGGTTATTTTCGTCATTTAGTGGTAGTTTAAAAGGTGTGTTTGGTGCTCTATTTCCGGGAGTCTTTGGCTGTAGTTGTCTGGTACTCTGGTTCAGGGGCTTTGCAGCAGCAGCCGTCCGATGGGCATGGACAAGGTTCTCTTGATCTCTTGCGGCCAACATTTTGAGGTGAATGATGGGTTTAATTTTACACTGGCGGAGTCTCCCGCCAGATGCAAGGGAGTAATTCCTTTTTATTTGTTTTCTTAATTAATTCGAGTTGAAGAGTTGATGCAAGAAGGCTGATACATAGTTGATGAATTATTGTCTTCCTCGTCAACCACAAGTCGCTGTTATCGTATCAACGTCAATGTTTTGGGCAGGCGTTGGCAGGGGAACCAAAGTCCATTACTTAATATCTTACCTAATCCACCCAAACAGCAAACCCGCCGGGTTTCACTTGCTTTCCCTCCCCGCTACAAACTAACCAACTAACGACAGACAGGCAACTTGCTAGACCAACCAACAATAATAAGCAGAAACATCCCTCACTTGTCTTGTCTTGTCTCCTTATCTCTTGTCTCTGCCCGGCAGTTCTCTGACATCCCTCTATACTCAACCAACTACCACCTCGTTTTGTTCGTCTATCTCGTTGACCGACCATACCTTTTGTTTACCTGCCCCTCTCCACTTAAGACTCGCCTACCCTTAACAAACAACAACCGTCAACATGGATAGAATCAAGGAGGTCCGTATTCCCTGTCTAGTTACCGCGGGGTAGCATCCGGAGGGGTGGTCCCAGAGCTTCGTTCGCCCCCTTTCCACCCAAACCCCTCCTATAGCAATTGAACCTCTGCAGCAAACGAAGGAGGGGTGGGAAAGGAAAGGGGGAAACGGAGGCGGCGGAGCGCGGAGCGAGGCTTGTTTCTGCTGCCTTCATAAACTCCAATTAGATTTAAAATAAATGGATATAATTAGAACTGACCTTGGCTTACTTTTGTTTTCTTTTTTGGGAATATACAGAAAATGAACACCCTCCGCCTGGAGGCCGACGATGCCCACGCCAAGGTCGAAGAGCTACAGGCTAAAGTCAAGGCTCTCGAGCAGGAGAATCTGGCAAAGGAACAGGAAATCAAATCTCTCACACATCGAAACCAGCTGCTGGAGAGCGACATCGAGAAGCTCGAGGTCGATCTTAAAGAAGCTAAGGCTTCCGCCTCCGAGAACGCCCAGCATGGTACACAGAATGAGTCTATGCAAAGACGTCTGCAGCTCCTCGAGGAGGAGGCCGAGGAGACTGATAAGACCCTCCGTGAGACGAATGAGAAGTGCGTTTCTCCTCTTCTCCCTTCCTCTTTACTTTTTGGGGTTTCCCTAAGTGCAACCTTTATGATTTCAAGATGCTAACCACCATGTTATTCAAATTTAGGCTCCGCCAAACCGATGTTAAGGCCGGACACTACGAGCGCAAAGTCCAGGCGCTCGAGACTTCCCGTGACCAATGGGAGGCCAAGTATGAGGAAATGGCCCAGAAGTACGAGAATTTGCAGAAGGAGCTACGGGAGCTGGAGACTGCCATGGGCAATGTGTAGATGATGGGGGTAGGGAGCGTGGTGTATACAAATATATTCTTCAACAAGCTTGTCTCTTTCTTCTTAGTCTCGCCTCGTGTCACTTCTCTCCATATGTGATTGCGATCTCGTGCTTCTAGCCACTGCTTGAACTGTTAAAGGAAGACAGAAAACCGCCAAATAACATGTCACTGTTCTGACCTTGAAGCTACTGTCATGTGTCATGTGCTTTTCTTTTCTTTTCTTCTTTTTTTCCCCCCTACTATCCTCTTTTATATTTATTTCCCCAAATTTGTCCACGTATGATTTATCTTTCCCGACTGCGGTACATAGAGCCTTTAATGAGATTCGATTCATTGTTGCCCATGGCAACTGTTCCATATGTTCTGTTTATCAGGTTCGTAGAGTCGTGGCCGTAATCATTCGTATCTGTTGCAATGATGTATCTCATTTGATCAAATCGAATGAATAACTCCATACGTCTCGTCGGGAATGAATCTATGTCGCCACCCTCCTCTCCCTCGCCCGCTTCTTGCCCCCAGCCCGCTCCTTGAACTTCGTAACCCTCCGCTCGGCCTTATTCTCATACCGGAAACTCCTCTTCTTCCTCTTCGAATTACTCTTCGACCGACCCGACGCATTATCACCATTCTTATCAGTATCCTTGTTTTTACTCTTATACTTCGGGTTCTCCTTGGTCCATACTCGCTTTTTCGGTTTTGATGTATCCTCACCACCCTCTCGTCCTTCATGTTCCGCCTTGTTCTTGTTCTTTTTCTCTTCCCCATCATCTTCACTGTCGTCTTCGTCGTCGTCACTCTCCACACCAACTCTCCTCCTCAGCCCGTCCCGCGAAGAAGAATCCAACTCCTCCACCGTAACAGTCGTATATTTATCCTCGTCGATATATTCCGCCTCATAGTCGACCGGCGGTGGCTCGGCGATTTCCTCCCACTCCTCATCCGTACTATTATCATTCTCCCCATCTTCATCCTCATCGGAACCGCTCTCCCCCGCCGCCGCACGGCTTATCTCCCGCATCAGCGTTCTGTTTTGCTCAAGGGCTCGTTCGAATTCTGCGCGGCGCTCGTCTCGTATCTTTTTTACCCCATTAAATAGGATTGGTTAATGAATTTAACAATGGAAACACAGCACCTCAAATGGATTTCTCTTCTTTTCTTTCCCGGAAAATTGTATATATATCTTTTTGAAATTCAACCAGAAGAAGAGAAACTACTAACCCGCCGCCTCTGCTCCCTCTTCTCCTCCTTCGCTCTCTTCTCCGCATTCTCCTGTGCCTGCTTGGCGCGCTGTACCTTGCGCTTATGGAAACCCGTCAAGTACTCCGCCCGCGCACTGGGATCGAAGAGGATCTCTGGAACGGCGTTGGGGTGGGAGGAGGTCAGTTTGCGTTTTTTGGGGTAAGGCGCCATATTTTCTATCTTCCTAGCGCTCTGGTTCTGTTTGCGGGTTGATTTAACTATTTATTTATTTGGTTGTTTTCTTCTTGGTGCTGGTTTCGCTTGCGAGGATCGGGGTATTGATTAATTGATTAAGTAGGGGTTAGTGAAGTGTTAGGGGAAAGATTGTACAGTATTTGCTTCGATGATTCCTTTTATTTAGATAAAAAAACAAGAATTATCAGAGCTTCAAGTTTAAGCGGGCATCAGTGCCAAGGAATGAATTTGCCAAGCCTTCGATCCACATCAAGCCTAGCGCTATCAACCGGCAGTCCTTCTCCAACGACCTATATACAGTAGATTTGTGCAGATATTAGGATTGATTCCGACTCTATCATAACTCACCACTGACATCTTCTCTACTGATTTTACAACGTCTCTAACGAGCTATCCTTCGACTGGGGAATAGCATCTGCTCATCCAAACTGTCACCTTTCGTCAGCGATGCGTGGATGTTTAGTAGTATCAAGGTGATCGATCGATCATGAGTCCTTAAAAGAACAAAATTATGGCGGATAATCCGCATGGTGTTACGAAGCCCGTTCCTCATCCTTGCACTCGGGGGTTCTAACATATGGCATCCATCCTCCCACGAAAGCAACGCGGAGCTAGTGGATCCGCGACATGGCGAATGCGATTACTGACTTGAGAAAACATGAAGCTTCAAAATTCGCTGTTCTAGAAATACATGACAGAGGGACACCTGCTGTCTATGCATATATAAGGTCGGTTGATACACGGGCACATCTCGATATCTTTTACCGCACTGCAATTTTCTCTCTGACATTGCTCCAGTGACGTCAGGCGTGTGGGCCAACCGTCGAAAGGTGCACTCAGAGGGGTTCGCGAGGTTCATCTCATGTCATAGTCGCAATGCAAAGACTTCTGTCTATATAAACTAGGCCCGCGCCTTCGAATCTTGTCAAGCTTCTTAGATGCCGTTTGCCGGTGCCATTGAAATAGTAAATGCGGCTGACGGAGGGAGTTCTGAAACCGCCACATCAATAAATACATTGTTAATATCCAGAGAGGAGGAGGCATGCGTTTCTTACTCTTTCTTTCACTGGGATATGCAGTCTCTATCTTCGCTAAATAAAGATGTCGGGGCCGTATTCCGTCAACTTCCACCCAGGCACAGATAAAAAAGAGTGTTTCTTTTTCAGAGTGGTTTGTCTGAAACAACTAATGATATTCACCTGAAGCTAAAAATGACGACGAGACGCGATTTTTATTTAACATTTTTCGCGGACTCGGATTCGTCCTGCCATTAAGAGCAAGTACGGGACCGCTCAGAACTACAGTGTACTCATCTTGGATAAATTTCATCTAATAACTACAAAGCCAAACGTTTTTCGTACTGGTGATAAGCCATATAATACCTGCTTTGAAAATTCTGCTCATTGAAGACCAGTGAAGTTTAACGTCATCGCTTTCATCGGGTTCTTTCACATGAAATCTCACTCGCGCCGAAGTGGCATATGATATGTATGCGAGGATATTACTCAACCAATCTTCAAATCATTTTACCTTTTCCTTTACAACATCATTCTCTCATCATCCCATCATCGAGGTTAATCTAGTTGTTCTGGATTGCCATGGGTGTCCTCCAAAGACGAAACAGAGACATTTCGCCACAAGACCTGCTTACCTCCGGATATGCTGACTAATAAAACAGCCTATATAATTCCCAATGAGGGTGTAGTTTATGCCTTCGGGCATTTGGTCAATTGAAACGATACAGAGAAGATTAGCATGGCCCCTGCACTAAGGATGACACGCTCAATCAAAGAGAAGCTACAAGTTTTTTTTTTTTATCCCTTACTGACCCTTCGTGGTGATGGATCGTGCGGTCTTGTAATTTTTGATGCAAGTTTCGATGGTTTTGGTGGGGAAATGCGCAATAGGCGTTGAGTGGGCTGAGGGCAGTAGTGGTGTTGTGGGTTCGAAACGGGGAAACGTCAGATTTATTTTAACCAGCCCAACGACGATTTTTTTTTTTTTTTTTTTTTTTTTTTTCCACCAAGTCGAGGCAGAAACAAAATCTCAAATCTCAAAATCTCAATAAGGGCGAATAGAGGATTATTTCCAATTCCCACGGATGATTTTTGATTTTTGGCCCATTCTAAATAGAATAGAGTATAATAATAATAAAAAAGGAATAAAATAGCTCTCCACGGAGCGGGGAGTGCTTTTTCTTTCCCACAAGGCAAAGGAACCACCCCCTCAGTCATCTAAAACGAATTTTGCGTATGCCATGGCTATTATTGAATCAAACAAACAAATAGTTAACTAGTTACAAAAAGTTACCTTAACAGAAAGACGTCTCCGGTGCATTTCCGAGGGCTCTCCAACACTCTTTTTGATCCACTGCGTTTGCTCTATGATTGTAACTCAATGTATAGTTATATGTACATGTACAGAGTACACACAATACTCTGTACTCAACTAAATAACTCCTCCCTCGGAGTCCCCTCTCCCCTTTCAAATTCTGTGCTTTGGGCATCGGCCCGGACGGCTGTTTGCGCATGTGTGCATACCGTTATTTTATGATCTTCAGCATGGATTGGATTCCATCAGTGAAAGTCAGTTGTTAACTTAGTTTTAGTTACTTACGTTGTCTCCATCCCAGGGTTCGCGGTGTCATGTAAGTTAGTATTATTATTGTAAATATTGACATCGGCCAGTACGGCGGGTGTAAAACAAGTTTAACCGAGCGGAAACTTCATCAGCAGGACAAAAACAGGCCAAACCGTAATTGTGTTTTAGACATATAATTTCTTTTTATTGTTTAAATATTTATCCTTTTTGCCAATGCTGTCATGGAACTCGGCTGTGGGTGCCGATATGTATACGGAGTTCGTGTTTTAAGTGCATGGAGGTTTAGACAATAACTTATAACTTTCCTGGCCTCCGCTTTTTTTTTTTTTTTTTTTTTTTTGTATTTCTCTCCCTCATTCACTACCAGCAACAAATATTAATAAATAATAATACTAATACTAATTATAATAATATATATACATATATATATATACACTCATGGGGTTTCTCTTTCTATGAGAAACCTCGCTTTTCCGCTTGATCACAATCTTGCAACACACAACTAGCCAGGTACTCCTCCTATCCCTATATGTAATCTTTGGGAGTTTGCCCAGTTCCCACCCACCCTCAAAAATAAAATAAATCGCCAAAATACTATAAAACACATCCGAATGACGGCCATCAACATCAGTATACAACTTGACAGTAAGAAACGATACAAAGAAGAACCCCCGCCAACCACCAAACCCCCTCCCCCCCCAGGGTTCAAACCCTTTAGTCAACTTCCATTGACCGAATGCACAGTACAGATGTTAATAAGACACTGCTGACTACTGCTACTAGGTTCCCGAAATCTCCACGGCCCCCTGTTATTCCTCAACGACAATGGCGTGGCAGGGAAAGTCGTCGTTTACAGCTGTGACAGTGCGCAGTTTGATTCCGTGAGGATTATCCTGGAAGGTTTGTTCTCTGTTTTCTTATTCATTTTCCCGCCGCATAACGAGGCGGATGGATGGGATGGTATATAACTGAGACAGAATAATCCTAACGCATGACATTAATTAGGCACGATACGCAGCTCTCTCATCAGTGCAGCAATATGGTCATCCGCACAGGGCAGCCGCATGGAAATGAAACAGAAGGTAGTTACCCCAGATCCTCACAACCCCCTTATCCAGGGCAATAACTGTGACCGACTGACACTGTGACACTCACAATACGTGAAAATAAATAAAGCTCATCCACATGCAAACCTCACTGCAGAAAAGAAACCACCAGCCAGATGACCAAGGAACAGTAAGGTTCCCATTCCACTTCACCATCCCCAGCCACATCCTCATCCCCAAAAGCGGCGGCGCTTCATCCACAGACATGGTCCACCCGCTTCCGCCTTCCCTCCTAGTCGATGTCGACAGCAGAAGTCTCACCACCCCGTCAATTTCGACCGCACAGAGTAGCCAACGTGCCGACTGCAGAATCGCATATACGCTGCATGCATATCTCATGCGCAACGGTAGCACGACGACGGGGACGTTCCGACATGTCATGCTGTTTCCAACGCAGGAACCGCAACCGCCATCATGTACGAGCGATTTCCCGGGCGATTACGCACTGTCGCGATCGGCCGTGCTTAGGACTGCGATGCTCTTCCGACGACTGGGCCAATTGTCTGTAGAAACGATGGAGCCGGCGCCGCTTGAGATGAGTAGGAAAAAGAACGGGGCATCAACTGCCATCCATTTGGTGTTAAGGTTTCGCGAGTCGCGAGAAAGGAGCAAGTGTGAGTCGATGTCGCCGCCAACTCCGGATTTTGGTGCGGTTTCTTTAAAGTTGAAGCAGATGACCTTCATTTCTGTTGAGCCCCAACGACGGCTGCCGGCCACCCGTGACCTATTGACGTCGCCGTTAATGGCGAAGGACACGGAGATCATCTATGAGCAGTTGCGGAAGCTGAAGTTTTCGCCGTGGGTGAGAAGTAGATGGAAAGAGGAGGATGGGGGAATTTCGGGTAAATATAGTCTTTTTTTTTCTCTTTCAGAAAGAAAATCGAACGAAATGGTTTGCTGACACTTGTTTCCCATTTCGTCCGCACAATAGATCAGGAAAGACGGGTATGGGAAACGAAAGCAACACTCATTTTCACATATGCGAATGGCAAACGCCCAGCTCCCACGTTTAGCTCGGCTTTGGTATCACGGCGGTACAGTGTTCGCATCGCTTTTCGTCTGGAGAGGGTTTATCACGGGACCCTGGAGCTGGAGGTACCACTTCAGATCATCTATAGAGGGGACGGCCAGATTCCATTGTCGGATGAGAGCGAATTAGGAGACTCCGAACTTGCATCGTCCGATGAAACACTGACGCTGCGAAGTGAATCGCAATCTACCGCGGTTACTCTGGCCGCTGAAAATGAACAGGCACCAGATTATGTTCCGTGATTTTGAAGGGCGCGATTGCGAACGCTCGTATTTTTCCTGCACAGTATATGGTGGGGCCTTCATGATGTATGTACGTATGGAGAATATTGAACGTAATAAAAAGAAATATTATTCTAATCCGCTGCCCGATCTGGAGTAGCGGCAACAAGCTTCACCACATAGGCATTTCTTGTCAAGCTGCTCCCAGTAGTGGTTAGAGTAGTCGACAGTAAGCTCAGTGTCAGCAGCGACACCGCGAGAAACAATGATAATCCTTTTCAATACCTAGCCAGTAGAATCTTTGAAACTGGCAGTCTGGGCGGCAGGAGTGGTTAACGAATCTCGTAGGATTGCCTGAGAAAAGGCTTAGCCAAGGTCCACCAACAAGCAGAGAATATGAAAGGAAAACAAACCCATGTGGCCTTGATATATTTGGTACGGCCGTTCTTGTGAATCTGCTACCATCACGTCCATGCCTTCGATCCCGGTCGTAATATAGCCGACGTATTCGCCAATGGTAGTTCCACGTTCAAGATCCTGGTGAGACAAATTAATACAAAAGATTAAGTTGGACTGATGAACGGGATTTCAATACACATCGCGTAAGCACGCCATTATTCTTCCCATTTTTGGTTTGAAAAATCTGTAGCGGCGGAGGAAGATCTGGGGTTGCCGTATACTGCAGCGATTGACCTGCACGTTATCGGATTGATACAGATGGCATCGCCGGAAAGTATGCGGATCCATATATCTAGTACTCGACGTGGGTCTTCGTCGCCAAAGATATCTCTGTCCCATGTGGACTCGTCGATAAATTGAAAAAAATAAAATCTCCCGGAATATGAGGGTACGTTACAGAGAGGGACAAGACTGATGTCCCGTTCTCCGTTACCACCCATTCGTGTAAGCGCGAGTTTTGTCCGATGACTTCGAGATGTTGGCACCATTCCGAGTCAACGGTCTCCGCCGCCACTTCAAAACTATCTCGTAGCTGCTGCAGTCAAGAGCTAAATGCATCATCAAATCCAGTGCGATACTTGCAGAATCTGTAGACCCCTGAGCTGGCAAAAGCCAGGCTTGCCCAGCCTCCGGCGTCCTTGATTCTCCCTATAGCCGCGCCATATTGCACTACTACACATGGGAAATTAGATATCTAATTTTTCTTTTTTTCTTTTTTTCTTTTTTTCTTTTCTTTTTTTATATTTATATATATATATATATATATCATGCAACGTAAAGGAAAGGAGATCTCGAAGAAGATCCCATTTCCCACAGTTTATTTCTTAACTCTTTCTCCTTCACTGGAGAATAGAACAAGCCTCTTTGATGGCCTCCATGCGAACCTCGGTTGCGGACTTCGATGACCTCTCAAGCTTGAGCGCCGCTATCCGAGGAGTCGGGCGTGAGTGAGTGGGTGATTGGAAAATGAATCCGTAGAAGGAGTCAGCTGGATCTTTGAGTCGATTAGATTTTTAAAAAAGAAGAAGAAGAAGAAGAAGAAGAAGAAGAAGAAGAAGAAGAAGAAGAAGAAGAAGAAGAAAGACTGGAGGTGTTTAGGAATTCCTCACAGTGCCGTCTTCTGGTCGAGATTGTAGTTTGGGAATTTGCAGCGTCATGGCTGCTCAGATCGACGTATTTATCCCTGGCGGCATTGTTAGTCATTTTGAATAGCAGGTTACACTGAGAGGGAGGAGCTAAGTAGAATGAAATGGATAGATGCAAGGCTCTCTCACCAATAGAAATTTGCTACCACCGGCAAGATGGGTCATTGGGTAATGTTGCAGTCTCTGGAGACGTGCACAAGCTCCCTTCAATCTTGAGGAAGACATTTGAACCCGTGGGAGCTTGGGACAGGACATCTTTCAGGCCGCCCACAATATTATTGTTTCTCAGCAGCCGACATATTTAGCTCGAGCAGCTGGGGGTGGTGGCCAGCGAGGGAGATAACTACGCGATCCATCTTCCATCAGCAACCGAGAGGCAATGGGAAGTCCATACGGATTTGACAGTAGCGGGGGTAATATGTGTGGAACAAGTATACAGTAACTAAATATCTCTTATTTATCACGGAAGATGTATAAAGGAATGGGAGGAGAAGAAAAGATGTTTAGCTTGGCTGGTCTGTTATTTATTTAGCTCTTGCATCAGAGGCTAGTTAGTTAAATAATAAATATCTCCTGTAGACGCATATTTAGTTAAATATCCATAATAAAGGTCATAATACACATTTAGCACTTGAGTAGATCTAGGATAGATAATAATAGACAGAAGAACGAACTAGAACCTCGATATCGATCAAACATGGCCGGATGTATTTCCATATTGTTGATGCTGGGAACTGGAAAATCCCCATATTAGGACTATTTATTCCGAAATACAGATGCACTCACTGTACAACTGTACTCGCATCAATGGGCCCTTAGGTTGGGCTAAATACCTAGTTACCTAAATAGATAATAAACGCGCGGTTGCCAGAGACAGATTGTCTTTCCCCATATATTTAACTAGTTATTTACTGACATCAAGCTCCTTTGCGGGATCTGGGAGGCGAGTTGCTAGGGTTGGGCGAATAAATATTTAATCTATTTAATTTTAAATTGTAAATTTCATTGTTCCCCCCTCAATACTATTTATATTCTCGCTCCTGTCTTCTAAACATTCTATAGATTGTAGTCATACCTGGCGAATCTTATCCCCTATTTCTCCTCCTGATCTTCTATCTCATGGTTTATCTCGTTTTCCTTTCTTTAAAGCGCTAATAGAACTTTTCCTTTCCTCCCCCTCACACCATGTCGTCCACCTCGAAGAACCAGTCAGTCATCCATAGCTCCCCACACGCTCATACGGGACAAGACACATGATGCCGACAACTATGACAACCTCAAGGGGTGGAGGAGATTCCGTCCCATGAGAACCTGGATGGGGCATGTATCATGATATTCGAAGACGCTATCACGGATGCCTTTACATATTGCATGGTGGCTAGTCTCCGCTAGCCTCTTTGATATACATATATCTACATCTACATATACATATCTACATCTACATCTATATATATATATATATAGCAAAAATGGATCAAATAAATGTATGGCTAACAAAATGCAACCAGCCTCCTCCCTGCTCTAGCCTACACCTTAGACATGTACCATTGAACCGGTGAATTCTTTGGTGTCAACGAGGCTTTGTTCTCATCCGCTCTGGCCGCCATGTTGTTCAGCATCTTGGGTGCTCAGCCCCTTACTATCGGCGGCATTACTGGCCTGATTTCACTCTTCAACGATACCATATACCACATCATTGCCCGGTACGATGTCTCCATTTACCCACAGTTCATCTGCTGGACTGCTATCTGGGCCCCTATCTTCCATTGGCTCACGGCGATTTGGAATACGTGCGATTATATGCGCTACGTAACCGTATTCTCTAGTGAGTCGTTTGGGATGTAATATTGGTATTATCTATATGATTATGAAGCTCTGATAAATTTCTATTTTTAACTTGTTTTATTTTAGCTCTTTCATAATTAGGGGATGCTGAGTGTTCTCTCTATTTAGTCAAGGGCGTGGAAGAACTTGTCAGCGAGTTTTCTTCTCGAGGCAGCATTGATGGATACCTCAATTGCACATTCGCCATTCTATACTTCGCCACCATCTATGTGCTGGAGAAATTAGGATCGAACACAATTTTCAAACCTTCCTTCAGGCGCTTTTTGGACAACTACGCTTACTCGGTGAGCATTTGTTGGACCTATCTTATTTTTATCAGTACACGGAAACCAGGGACTAATATCCTTTTCCAGAAAGCCAAAATCTTTTGGGTTAGCTTTGCGCATATCCCAGGACATTTGAGAGAGGCAAATATAGGCAAAGTACCCATTACAAAGGCCTTTCATCCTACCCAACCTCGTAGCAGGTTGATAGACTTCTGGGAACTGGACGTCAAATGGATCTTTGTCGCTATCCCCTTCAGGTTTTTAACAATGTTTCTCTTTTACTTCGATTATGCACCTTTACGTGCTACAGAACATCAGCAGCTTGACCTCCCAATCTCGGCAGTTCCTGTTGAAAAACTCAGGAGGCTTCCACTGGGATTTCTTTCTCCTTGGCTGCACAACCTTTGTTGCCGGTATCTTAGGTCTTTCAATGCCCAACGGGCTCGTTCCTCAGGTAAAACTAATTTTACATATCATCAAAATTACTCGCATTGCGTTTCCTTTTCCTTGATAATGCTAACAGGTGATAATCATAATCATGGATATAGGCACCGCTACATACGGATTCCCTGACTATTTACGAAACGGACATGGTCAAAATATCCACCTGAGGGCGAGGGCGCAGAAGTCAGGAGACCCATCGTGAAAGCTACTGCAGTGGTCGAGCAGCGGGTTTCTCACTTCTTCACGGGCCTGGCATTGATCGGAACCATGACTGGACCTTTACTTGTCGTCTTGCATAGTATGCCCGCGGCGGCTTTTGCTGGGGTCTTCTTTGTCGTTGGTGTAAGTTGTTTTTCCATATTCTTTATAACAGAACTTTCACGAAATCACATCACTTGCTAATATGTTCTTTTTCTTAGTGGGATCTATCGAATCCAATGGAATTGTAGAAAAGCTGGTTTTCCTTTTCAAGGAAAATAGGTTCATCCAGCGTGACGAGCGGATGCTCACTTTTAGGAGATGGAAAATAGCGTTGTATATTGGGCTTCAGCTTTTCGGTGTGCTATTCTGCGTTGCCGTTTCACAGACCATCGCGGCCATCGGTGAGTGCTCTCCCCCCATCAGCCAACCCCGATCACCTGCGAGCAGAAGAGCAGTAGCTTATTTGTGGATATCCAGATTTTCCCGTCCTCATATGCCTTATAATACCCATGCATGCCGCGCTGATGCCCAAATGGTTCGCCCTGAAGGAACTGGAGGTGATGGATGACCTCACAGCAAACAACAAGGTTTGCCTGGCCAGCCTAGGTGGTGCGCCCATAGTTATAATTATAGCTCGGAAAGTTGCACAATTAAGTCTCTACAACAATGATAACCCAAATGTTTGCCATAATCTGTGCTCCGTAATAACTCACTCAATGCAAAGAGATATTAACTCAGTCTAGACATGTTTATCGGTGTTGATATCGGGCTGGAAGATGCCTCGGCAGATTAACTAACCCGGCCCGAACAAGGTTAGCTTCGGGATCGGCCAACGCTCCCCGCAAAAAGGCCCTAGGAATTGCCGAAACCCTAACTGCGAATCCCTTCTTCATCGTTCTTCGCATCCAACCTCAACACGGGGTTTGTTTTCGCTCTCACGTTGCCAAACCACATTCCTTACGTCTATTGGGCTATTTGTTTCTATTCCTTCTGGTTTCTGCAGTATATTTGCGTGTTTACGTCTCCGGTTGTCTGTTTTCCTGTCAAAGTCTAGTAACAATAATGCCGGCAAAATCACCGTATCCTTTGTTAGACATACCAAATGTCGATCTATGGACTCTTCTGTTTGAAAATAAGGAGCGGCCTTTCCCTGATGACCAAGGTTTGTTGATTCTTCTTTGCTCTTGCCAGCTATGAATGTTTCACTCCAAATCGCACAGAACAACAGCACTTGGAGCTTCAACACATAGCCTTGACTAATCAACTTACCAATGTAACGTATACGCGTAGTGATATTCCAGGATGCCGACACCCTCCGATCATACACCTATGCCCAGGTGAAGTCCACAGCCCTTGAATTTGGAATGGGCCTCAAGGCTGCCTGGGACTGGAAAAAGGGCGATGTTCTAGCAATCATCTCGCCCAACAGCATCGACATGCCCCCCGTACTATGGGGGACCCACTGGGCCGGCGGCATCGTCTCCCCAGCCAACCCAGCATATACCGTAGATGAGCTGGCCTTCCAGCTCAAGGGGATAAAAGCCAAAGCGCTCGCTACCCAATTAGCGCTCGTGCCAACCGCCAAGGCCGCCGCGAAGCTGGCCGGTATTCCGGAAAACCGTATCATCTTGCTGGGTGATGCGCGGGATCCGAGTGCGAAGTTCAAGCATTTCACCTCTGTGCGGAATATATCTAAGGCTACAAGATATCGCAAGACACGCATCGACCCTGCGAAGGATCTGGCGTTTCTGTCATTTAGTTCGGGCACGACGGGCGTGCCCAAGGGGGTGATGCTGTCGCATCGGAATATTGTTTCGAATATCATGCAGTTTACAGCAGGAGAAGCGGGCAACCTGACCTGGCACAGCGATAAAGTGTTGGCGTTTTTACCATTCTTCCACATATACGGTAATTACGAAACTTCCTCCTCAATCCCCACAAAAATTTCTTCATCACCCCCAGCAGTAGCTGATTTACAAACCCAGGCCTGACGTGTCTGATCCACAAATCCATGTACACCGGCGTGCACATGGTCGTCATGTCCAAATTCGACATCGAAAAGTGGTGCGCCCACGTCCAAAATTTCCGCATCACCTTCTCCTACGTCGTACCCCCAGTCGTCGTTCTCCTCGCCAAACACCCGGCCATCGACAAATACAATCTCTCTTCCCTACGACTGCTGAACTGCGGCGCCGCCCCGCTCAGCCGCGAGCTCGTGGAGGCCATGTCCGCGCGCATCAAGACGGGTGTCAAGCAGGGCTACGGCCTTAGCGAGACCAGCCCTACAACCCACACGCAGGCGTGGGCTGATTGGGATAAATACATCGGCTCAGTAGGCCGCTTGCTACCCAACCAGGAAATCAAGTACATGACTTCGCCCGACGACGGGAGCGAGCCCGTCGAACTACCCATTGGGAAGACGGGGGAGATCTACATACGCGGCCCCAACGTATTTCTGGGATACCTGAACAACCCGTCGGCGACGGCTGAGTGTCTTTCGCCCGACGGCTGGTTCCGAACGGGCGATGTCGGACACCAGGATGAACATGGTAATCTATACATCACCGATCGCGTCAAGGAGCTTATCAAGTACAAGGGTTTCCAGGTTGCGCCGGCAGAGCTTGAAGGCGTTCTTGTGAAGAACGAGGCGATTAGCGACGTTGCTGTCATTGGCGTGGAGAGCGAAGAGCATGGCTCCGAGGTGCCGCTCGCCTACGTTGTGTTGAAAGCCAAGGTGGCAGGAAACGAGGCTGCGGCGGAGGCGGAAAAGATCATGAAGTGGCTTGCGGATAAAGTGGCGCCGCATAAATGGCTGCGTGGAGGGGTGAAGTTCATTGATGAGATTCCTAAAAGCGCTAGCGGCAAGATTTTGAGACGTGTGCTGAAGGAGCGCGCGAAGGGAGATGCTGACGGCCCGGTGAAGGCGAAACTATAAAAAGCCAGTCTAGCTCTCGTTTGGATTTTTCATTCTTTTGACTCTCCTTCGGGCGACTTCAAATTCGGCCGGTGGCTTTTGACCCAAAGTTCCCTGTGCAGCTGTTAGATAGTAAAGATTCTTCATTCAGTACCCCCTACAGCTAGATCAAGTATCATTCGTCTTCTTGTTTGTGTTTTCTCGTCGAATCATACGAGTTATTTAAGCATTTAAAGAAGATAACTTCTCCGAACATGCGTATGTATAATAAAATAACGAGAGGCCCGGCACAAAAATCATTAAAGCATCTAATTAAGAAGGTAATCTAACTCATATATATAACTATTAATTTTGCAAAAAGATGTCTCCCTATTATCCAACTTCATCAATATTTATCCATAATAAAAGGGAAAAAATGACCTCGTCCAGAGGTCAGATGAAGCTTTCCACCCATCTACAAAATTACATGTTCGCTTTCTCCCTCCCTCAAAACGAGGAAAATAAATCTGTTCAAGTACTCCAAAATCACCCCAAATTTCCCTCTTTCTGCGCTTTCCCTCAAAGGAAGCTCATGGCCCGCAATAATTATGAACCTTAACCTCGCCGCAAAGCTCATGGGCTGGCTTGTGCGGGTAACCGTCGCAAAGGACATTGCACTTGGTATGCGGGCCGGTGAAAACAAGGAATTCATAGCCTTTGACTGGCATGCGGAAATGCTTGTGGTCATGGCTATAATGGCTAGCCTTGTAGCCAGCGCGGCAGGCGCAGTGGTAGTGGTGGCCTGTGCTGACACAGGAAGTGGTTGGATGACAGTGATTTTTGCCTGAGAGGGGGTCACAGACAGGGCACAATGGATGTTTGTCGTGCTCGTCGTGCTTGTTGCACCACTTACTCCAGAGATCCCAATCGTACTTCTCATGAGATGGGTCCCAGTCACAGTTGTAGGGGTCCTTGTTGCACCACTTATTCCAGAGATCCCAATCATACTTCTCATGATATGGGTCCCAGTCACAGTTGTAGGGGTCCTTGTTGCACCACTTATTCCAGAGATCCCAATCATACTTCTCATGATATGGGTCCCAGTCACAGTTGTAGGGGTCCTTGTTGCACCACTTATTCCAGAGATCCCAATCATACTTCTCATGAGATGGGTCCCAGTCGCAGTTGTAGGGGTCCTTGTTGCACCACTTATTCCAGAGATCCCAATCATACTTCTCATGATATGGATCCCAGTCGCAGTTGTAGGGGTCCTTGTTGCACCACTTATTCCAGAGCTCCCAATCATACTTCTCATGAGATGGGTCCCAGTCGCAGTTGTAGGGGTCCTTGTTGCACCACTTATTCCAGAGATCCCAATCGTACTTCTCATGATATGGGTCCCAGTCGCAGTTGTAGGGGTCCTTGCACCACTTATTCCAGAGACTCAAATCATACTTCTCATGAGATGGGTCCCAGTCGCAGTTGTAGGGGTCCTTGTTGCACCACTTATTCCAGAGATCCCAATCGTACTTCTCATGATATGGGTCCCAGTCGCAGTTGTAGGGGTCCTTGCACCACTTATTCCAGAGATCCCAATCGTACTTCTCATGAGATGGATCCCAGTCGCAGTTGTAGGGGTCCTTGTTGCACCACTTATTCCAGAGCTCCCAATCATACTTCTCATGAGATGGGTCCCAGTCACAGTTGTAGGGGTCCTTAGTGCACAAGATGTCCCATAGATGGGGGTCATAGCCTGGATGAGAGTCGTCCCAGTCACAGTCATAGAAGTGCTTGCCATTCCCACTGCACAACCCATTCCAGAGACCCCAGTCACACTTGTAGGGATCCTTGTCATAACTGCTGCACCAATGATTCCAGAGGGTCAAGTCATATTTCTCATGAGATTGGTCCCATTCGCAGTTGTAGGGGTACATGTCATAGCCATTGCACCAATGGTCCCAGAGGTCCCAATTAAACTTCTCGTGAAGAGAGTCCCACTCACAGCTGTAGTAGTCCTTATTGCACCATTGATTCCAGAGGTTCAAGTCATACCTCTCATGAGACTTATCCCAGTCACAGTTGTAGGGGTCCTTGCCATTCGACCCGCACCAATACTGCCAGAGAAGCCAGTCATATTTTTCATGAGTGTTGTCCCACTTACAGTCGTAGAAGTGCCTGCCATGCCCACTGCACCACTTAAACCAGAGGTTCCAGTTATAGTCCTCATGTGAGTTGTCCAATTCACAGTCATAGGGGTGATGACCATTACCACACAAGTAATCCCAGAGATACCAGCTGTAGTCCCCATGTGATGGGTCCCAGTCACAGTCATAAAAGTGCTTGCCATGTCCAGTGCACGATGACTTCCAGAGCACCGCGTCATACTTCAAATGTGACTCGTCCAATTCACAGTTGTAGTGTTGCTTGGTATCGCACCAATAACTCCAGAGGTCATAGTTATACTTAGGATCAGAGAGGCCCCAGCCACAGTCATAGAAGTGCTTGTGGCCATCCCCGTTGCACCACTGATCCCAGAGGTGCCAGTCACACTTCGGGTGACCGAAGTGCCCGTTATACTTGACATCCACGGGGTACTTGTCGTCGCGAGGGTAGCGTGCTCCTGGGCGGGCAGCGACGAGGGAGGAGCTGACTAGGAGGAGGATGGAGGAAACGGATTTGATGTCCGGCATTCTCCCGGCAGGTAGCTCCGGAACCGGGCAATTAGGAAAGATTGGATTATCGCGAGTCGATTAGGGAATGAATGGAGAGCTTTTCAGTTAAAAAACATGCAATTAAAAAAAAAAAAAAAAAAGAAGTATTTGTAAAAGTTAGACTTAAAAGGAACGAATGACTGGGCGCTTGAGAGAAGAGAAGAAAAGGAGCAAAAAGAGAGCGCATCCGCACCTCTTTATATCTTTCTCAAGCCTCTCGGCGGCCAGTTCCCAATCTCACTCCAGCATAGTGTATGCCGTCTTCCTGAAGGATACTTTCAAAGTCGGTCCATGTCTCATCGCGAGCCGGCTAGCTGATACCCACAACAGAAACATTGGCAAGAGCCTAAGCCAAAACGGAACAATATATGACGTCTATCCACACAATGTGCCGAATCAATGGACAGCGTGTTCAGAATGTTCTCAGATCGCACGAAGTTGGAGTAGAACATTATCAGATAGGGGTAGTAAGGTAAAGCTGCAACTTGGCCTCTTATCGAAAAATCTGAATCGAGCCTAGATCATTTCTCTGTCGTCACATAAGAGGGCTATACATAGCTTCAAATTTTCGATATCTTGAACACTCGGTAGAGGAAAATACCGAAAACGGGGCAGAGCCAAACAATTTTCAGGGACGAGAAAAAGGGGATGAAAAGACAACCTTGGTTGCTGATTCCATAAGTCAGGGCATAAAGTTAAACATTGACCCGTAAAGCAGGCGCAGGAGAGGTAAAATTGGCAACTTGGATAATGCGTGAATAACATAATTCTGACATTTTCCGATTCTCGATTTCGCCTGGGCTCTGTTGTCTTGAATAAATCAAGGTACAAGGTACAGCACAATACTTCCAGGTCAGCCGATATAGAGGAAATATACGACCCGTACTCTCTTGAGAAAAGTAGCCAGGTAGCCAGTCTTTCGATCACATCCAATGTCAGAGAAATGCTCCGAACGTCGGTTCGTGCTGAAGGGCCTAGGGAGGACCAGGCGCTCCAGCTTCTAGATTGCGAGGATTATTAAAAAGTCCGTGGAATGAACCAGCACTAGCTAGCTATGTTCTGTGCTCTTGTGCTATGAGCTCTGTCTGAGCTGTGTGCATCATCAAGATTTCGGCCATGCATCTCTGATGAGAGAGTATTCAGAGTACGGAGTACCGGGGAGGGAGTACGGTACTAAGTACATAGTTAGTAGTAGGCGGATTTTGCACCCATCCTGTCTTTCAACGAGAAAATTACTTAATATGGTTAGAGGCATTCAGCGGCATTTGCCAAGCAGATTCACCCTTTTGAAGTTAACTCCGTAGCGTATAACTACCCAGCCACTTCTGTTTTTATGTTTTTATGACTTGATGGTGGTTATTAAGAATTCTTTTGCAAAATACGCGTCGTGGTGAATTCGTGAAGTCGTGAAGTTGAAGTCGTGAAGTCGTGAAGTCGTGAAGTCGTGAAGTCGTTGAAGTCGTTGAGTTTGTCTGGAATATTCGACCAGGGTCGATCCTTGCGAATATTTTAAGGAAGTGGAGACATGCAATCTGGATGCAGTTTAGTGTCTTGTTGTAGTTAACTATCGAATCCAAGGGTTTTTGAATCGAGATGAGAGATCTCTTGTTAACATTTTGCGGTTTCTCAGGAAACTCAGCCACTTTGCTTAGAGTTTGATTGAACTACTGCGTAAATAAATAATAATAAATTGGGTAACTATATACTCCGTATCCGTACTCCGTAATGCTTTACATTTATTTTTTTTCTAGAATTTTTCTCAGACAGTTATTAAACTGTTTTTAAATATATTTTTCTTTTAATTGAATATTAGAAAACATAGGGTTTTCAACAGACTGTTAATGGTAAATATATTACTAAGGTATTTTTAGTAGAACTTGACAGAACTCGATAAAGTTTGAAAATGATGAATTAGTTATTTAAAAATGAAGTTAGAAAGAGGCTGAGCCCTGAGCATGCATGCTGAGATAGAGTTGCTGCGCTAAACCAGGAACGGAAGATCGGGGGTTCGTATGGAACCCTTCTTGTTTGGCAACCCCCTGAATTGTCCCGAGTTTTCGATATCAACGGTAACTACCTTCGTAAAGGTTGCTGGCATGCGGCGGTAACTTATCCATTAAACCCGATGAACTTATTTCTTTAAGGGCTTAGTAGTCCAAATCTCAACAACACAGCGGAAATCGATCTAGTGCGAATAAACCAATGTTTTTTCCTACTCCGTAGTTACCTAAGAAAACAAAGAAAAGAAAAAGAAAAGGAAAAAGAAAAACAGAAACGTCAAAGCGTCCGCCGGATTTTGAGTAAATAATAATGTGTAGCACAATACATACTGGCTTTTTGTTCACAGCATCAGAAACCTAGCAAGTTGGCATGTACTGTCATTGAGAGCCTGCCTGCCCTTGTATCAACCGATCTCGCTTCCAGTGAAGCCTTCGGGGTAACACGGACTTTCTTTCCTCGACGCGCACGTCGATTACTTTTTCATTATATTTTTTGCGTTTTCTTTTTCCTTATGGTTTTAAGACAAACAATGCCCGTGTCTTAGAAGGACCGAGTCGTCGAAGCCTACTTGCTCATGTATGCAGCGTATGCGGTCTATCTCACGACCGAATAACCGATACATCCATTTGTATGTACATGTACAGTACATGTAGCTGCTCATGTGGACTTGTTTTGCTCTTCTTTGCCACGCATTCCAGGAAAGTGCTTTTCGTTTTTGTTGGCCGGTTTTGTCTGCACTCTTCTTCCGTTTCAATTTCCCGCAACTCGTCGCGGCTGAGGCCAAACCCTCGTGACGGGGGTAATATTCGGAACGATTTTTCCAACCCCTTCACACATGACTCGGAGGTTTGCAGCACTGCTCTTTCAAGTTCCATATTGAAATCCCGCCGCTTGTTCGTATTCTCTGGCGATGTGGGACAAAAGTTCTAAATGCCTGTTGAAATGGTGCTCTGATATAAATGGCTTGTGCTCTTCGATTGTTGAATTGTGGGAACAGTTAGACACGCCACGCCTTCGTATCAGGTCCTCCATCATCAATGTCGATTCATCTCCCTCTTTCATGCCACAGTTATTGAAATAGGTGTTCAAGATCAGTACATACATATGTATGGAGTAGTATGGGGTAGATAGTGGTGATTTGAGAGGATGTGTGTCGTTGAAGTCGTTTTGTCTCCACCAAGGCCATCATCTCAATTCCCTTGGTTAAAGCTGCTTTCTAAGATTCCGCCAAGTCAGCAAACTGATGTCAGATAAGAAACCACTCAAAAATCTAGCAAGAAGTTGGCATGATGAAATTTTGGTCTAATAATTTCAGGGGTTAAGCTTCAAGGGTGAGAAACAAAAAGAAAAAATATAAAATATAAAAAAAATTCTTGACGTTCTTAAAATATCCTTCCTGCCATGTATCAACAACGCCCATGCCAATATTCATAAAAGAAACCAACACCTATTGCATACCTGACCTTGCGTGTGACACGAGAAGCATTTGAAGCAAAATAGAACAAATCAGATACATTAGTATAAACGTGATATCAGTGACACCGAAATTTACAAGGAACAACATTCGGGGATATTCCTCCATAACAGAAGTGCCGCTTTTCCCCGCTGTTCTTCCACAAACGTGTATTCGATGCTCTCATATCATATTCATAATCTCGTCGTCATCGTCGATCTCAACAAAAACGAGGCGCGTTCCATTGCTAATAATTTGCCAGACCTAGAAAGCGGGAAGGAGAAGTGTGAGTAGAATACGGGATCTAGAATAAGGACGCAAGCAAGGGAAACAAGAAAACGCACATTTAGCTTTGCATATTCCTCAATGGTCTGGCTCAGTTGATCATCCGTGAAACCCTTCGCGAGGACCCTTTCTCTTACTCTCCGCATGCTCAGCTCCCCTTCATTCCCATCTTCCACGGCCGCGGCACCACTCTCTCGCATACCCCTGATGAGATTGTAGATCTTGCTCATGGGGCTCTGATCATCACCTCCTTGGGAATCATGATATAAGCTCGCCTTGCTCACCGCGGTTAGACGGAGGGCCTCATCCACATCTTCTGTGATTACTTCCTCGCTGAATCGCAGGCGGGCAAGAGCTTGTGACAGACGAAGTATGCCTAGCAGTGTACGTGGAGACGTATGTGAGAATTGTTTTTTGTTGGCCTCGTCACGTTTTTGTTCCTGGCGAAGCCGAACGTAGGAGCCAACCATGTACTCGGATACTCGCTTGGGGACATTGGGGCGGAAGGTACGCGCTTTGGCGATATATTGTCGGACTTCGTGGGGTGTGAAGACCACGTTATTGTCGTCTGTTTCGGGATGCTTGTTGTGCATATGAACGTATGCGACGTGGTTAGCAAGCTCCTCATCAGCATCACGAGAAGGAGTATCCAGCATCAAGAAAAGGACATCAAATCGAGAGAGAAGGGCCGCTGGGAGGTTAATGTTTTCAACGGGTGATATACGCGGGTTATATCGGCCATAGAGGGGATTGGCCGCTGCAAGAATTGAAGTACGAGCATTGAGAGTGGTTGAAATTCCCGCTTTGGAAATGGATATCGTTTGCTGTTCCATGACCTCATGAATTGCAGTCCGGTCACCATCGTCCATTTTATCGAATTCGTCAATACAACATATTCCATTGTCCGCTAAGACCAAAGCACCCCCCTCTAGCACCATCTCATCTGTAACTGGATCCCGCATCACCGCTGCTGTAAGGCCCACACCACTACTTCCGCGACCAGTAGTATAAACACCGCGGGGAGCAACCTTAGTGATATATTTCAATAGCTGAGATTTGGCAACACCGGGATCACCCATAAGACAGATATTAATGTCACCACGAATACGCATTCCATCACCCATCTCCTTGGTGACTCCTCCAATCAAAAGTAGAAGCAGCGCCTTTTTCACGTCAAGATGACCGTAGATTTCAGGTGCTATGGATCGCGAGAGGTATTCGTACATGTTTCCTGAACTTTGATGTTGAGTAATTTTTTGGAGGGCTCGCGAGTCCAGGACAAGATTCTCATAGGCCTTTTTATGCTGGGTTATGTGCTGGGCTTCAAGATAAGTATCTGTAAGCAGGCCGGCTTTGATGGCCCTAAATCCAGTGTAAGGTATCGGGAGGAAGATGCCAGCAATATCAACCACATCACCAGGATTAACTTGTCGTACAAGACTTCCATTACAGTGGACCGTTAGGGTGCGCGGAATGTGGCCAACGGGAACTTGATCTGCCATTTCCTGAATCTTAATTTCTTGGAATGGAATGAATTTTGAAGCCCTGGTAGAAAGAAATAGTTGGCCCTTGGTGTTATTCTGTGTGCATTCAACAGACGGGCACTCAAAAAGGGGCGCAAATTGCTTTGTGACAACAGGTTGGAAAACTTCTGATCCGCAACGATCGCAAGAGTAGGCGTTTATTTTGACCGCAGGCTTGACGTCTGAAACTCTTGTCGTAATGCCTCGCACAGTAATAAGGTGGCCAAGGTGTTCACCACGAACATGGCGAACGGCCATTGCCTTGCTTCGACCAGTGCTCGAGCCTGAAGCGGTCAATGGCTTGAAGTTCAGGGTATAGCGGCGAGTCAGTTCAGGAGGGAAAATTGAGGGTGGCATGCCAGCTTCAGAATCAGGATCTGCTTCAGCTGCCAGGGTCATTGTTTCGTTTCTTCGCTCTCGTTGAGACATGATTATATCAAGGACGTCATCTTTAAATCTGCGGAAAGAATTCAATTTAGGCATGCTTCTATCTCGAATTTGGCGCAAGAACGAGATTAGACGAATATAACTCACGAGACTTCTCTGGTCTCCTTGGGCATTATTTCGTCAACCGCATCAGAGAATACATCAATGTATCGCTTCGCATTACCTTCGATGTTGTCGAGGATGTTTGAATTAGGGCCATCGGGCAGGGATTTGACATACTATAATTACCTCAGTGTTAGAAAGGTTAATGGAGAGAACATTGCCCAAAGTGCATCCTACTGTGTCTAGATCATCTAATTCTATAAGAATATTGGACCTTGTCCGATCCGCAACTTCTTGCAGCATCTGCATATACTTCAATTTCGGTCCCTTTGATCGCGTAGTTCTTGTGCGTTGACCATCGACATCGTCCATGAAATCGTACTCGTCGCTCATGACATCGCCGTCAATATGAAGGCCTTCGATTGCTTCGGTGGCCGCGGCCTCTGAAGCTGATTCGAAGCTCTTAAAAGTCTCAAGGAAGTCCTTGAAAAGCTCTTGCTGGACCGCATACTTGACGGGTGCGCGATACTGGAGTAGCGCCATGGCGGAGGATTCACTACTGAAAAAAAGGACAAACGGAAGTAGGTAGGAGATACGAAGAGGGAAAAGTGGTTTCTGCGGCTTTAGCGGCAATTTATTCGAGTTGAGAGAGCGCCAGTGTAGTTGAAACAGAGGATGGTTTCTGTTGGGTTGCCGCAGTTCGTTGCAATTGAAGAATTAGAGGTTGAAGAGCGCGTTTACGCGACGCGGACGCGTTTAAGAACCACCTAACCCATGTTGGGACTAGCGTGGTTCGGGACGGATTATGTCTCGGCCCGACACTCGGCAACGCATGCTCGTCACAAAGCCGAAGAAACGTCGGAGCAACTTCACCCAAGTATTTCAATTTCTATGCCGGTTAAACAGCTACAACGGTTGTAACTTTTTGCTATAGCTTCTTTTCCGCTCCATTAGGGGGTACTTCATTCTTGATAAATGCATAATCGAGGGGAAGGTCAATTTTTGATAATTGTCCACCATGGCTCCTGGTAACAGCAAGACATCCACCATCGCGGAGGTAGCCCTTGTGCCGCTCAAGAACTGCCTTGTTAACTTGCCGCCGTCGCTGGTGTCGTTGTTAGTGAACGCGGATACGGTAAGGATATTGAATGCCAGGTTCTACGTCTAGTAATCTAATGATTTTCGTTTCGCAGCCTGCCCAAAATGTCGTTGTCGAGCTTCAATATCGCCCCACCTCTGGCGCATCGAATTCCCATTCGAATGTCGGCCAGTCGCAAAAATCCTCGTTCGTTGGCTGGACAGGCATGCCAAGTAAACGAAGACTTGCCCCTGTAGTCAGCAGAGACGGAATAAGCGGTGCAAGAGGTTCCTCGAGGGAGCAGGAGATCCCGACAGTTGAACTTGATTCTACTTTCGCAAGAGTTTTGGGTTTGAGTGATGGCCAGCGGGTAATTACCATGCACAAGCCCAAAAATCTAACATCACTCTACTAATTTCCCGATAGGTCGGCCTGTTGCTGCACATCGACCCCCCGGTGGCGCACACCGTCAATATTGAGCCTTTAACACCGGCTGATTGGGAGAGTAGGTCTTGGAGCTCCCCGGATCTCCAACCACGCAACGCTAGCTAACCACCAATAGTTATTGAATTGCATGCCACCTTCCTAGAACTTAATCTCCTGTCTCAAATTCGTGCCCTTCCAAACCCTGCTTATAGCGGTCCTACAGCTGGGCAGCTGCCGCATTCCCATCCGCTCACTTTACACCTGTCACCCACCTCAACGGCCAATATTACCATCACATCCCTGACACCACCTGTGCCAACTACCTCTCCATTTGCCAAAATCGCACCCGATGCTGAAGTTATAGTTGCTCCAAAAGTCCGCACAAAATCCAACAGGCATTCACGCAGCGAAAATAGAAGCACTACCAGCGCCGGTCGGAAGAGCGTAAGCGGCCGTAGCAGTGGGAGCACTGTCCGCCCAAAAAGTAGCCATTCCGATTCCGCGTCGCGTGGCGCAGTTTATCTTCGAGGCGTGGATCGGCGCCTTGCGCAGGATTGGTTTGATGAGGATCCGGAGACCCAGAAAAATGAAGGGTTTAGGATATGGGTTGATCGAGGCATCCTTTCGAAGAATGAGTTCCGTGGAACAGTGTGGGCATGCGTTTCAATTGTTACCCCGGCGGGATTACTCCCACCTATCGATCCACAACAACAGCAGCAGCAAAAAGATCTGGAGTCTTCCGATGCAGGAAAGCCCTCGAAGAAAATTGTAGCCAGGGTTCTCCCATGGGATGAGAGTCCTGATTGCCAACATGTCGCTCTCTCATCCAGTCTCTGCTCTGCGCTTGGATCCGACGGAATGGTCGGAGGAATTGTTCGCGTTGAGGCCGCTCCGCCCCAAATTCAGCAATCTTCACTGAAATCCGTTAAACTTTTCCCTTTTACATCTGAATCATCGAAGAAGAAGGATGGATTGAAATTTGGGGGTGATTCTTCTGCTTACCGGGATGCTTTGAGTGAACGAATCAAGTTGTTATACGGCAGTCTAGGTTCTGATTCAGGTATTTTAGCGGGCCCGGTAACCGACGGTATGATTTTGCCCAAACTTGACAACCAAACCCCGCCCTTCGAGTTCGAAGGGGGAATTGTTCGCTTCGACCCTCCTTTAAACCCGCAATCAGAGGCTGGTAGGGTAGCATTTGACTGGCTGCTCGGCTCGGAATGTAGAGCGAACTTGGATATTCAGCCAGAAATACCAAAACCGCAGGACGGGGTCCCTTCGACCGCTCCCTCGACAGATCCGATCCCGGACAAGGCACCCAAGATGGTGGGGATAGATCCAATTATCGAAACCTGTATCTCAAACCTTACTCGATCATCCTCGATTCTTCTCACCGGTGGGCTGGGTGCTGGCAAAACATCTTTATGTCACTTGTTGGCCTACAAATTACGCGAGGATTACCTTTTTAATGTATCGTACTTCTGTTGCCGCAAGCTGGCGACAGATCAAACACGCATCTCTACAATTAAGGAAACATTCCATCGACTTTTCCTCTCGGCATCCTGGTGTGCTAGGCAAGGTGGCCAGTCAATCGTGATTTTAGATGACCTGGATCGTCTCTGTCCGGTAGAAACTGAGCTTCAGGTTGGCGGTGAAAACGGAAGGAGCCGCCAACTTAGCGAGATTGTCTGTTCAACTGTTCGAGAATTTTGGTCGGCCAGCTCTTCTGTCGTTTTACTCGCAACGGCACAGGCGAAGGAGTCCCTCAATAATGTTATTGTTGGAGGCCATGTTGTACGGGAAATTGTTAGTTTGAAGGCGCCAAACAAGGATGGGAGAAGAATGGTGCTGGAAAAATTAATGGCAGCAGACGAACCAGTTCCAGGGCTCCAGACTGCGGCCAATGGTCATGTAAGGAGCCCAAGCTCTTCCACCCAGGGCACCTGGCTTGACCCCTCAGATCCTGGTAGCCGACCAGGTTCAACGGGACAATCTGATGGTTTTGTTCTTAGCCGAGACCTAGATTTCCTTGACTTAGCTGGGAAGACAGACGGATACATGCCCGGCGACCTCGTCCTATTAACTACTCGTGCAAGAAACGAAGCCTTGATCCGTTCGGTTCAAGATACGTTATCCACATCCACGACTATCACCTTAGGCACGGAAGATTTCGCTCGCGCACTCAAGGGCTTCACACCCGCCTCTCTCCGTAACGTCACACTGACATCCTCTTCAACCACTTTTGCGTCCATTGGAGGACTGCATGAAACTAGAAAAACGCTCCTTGAAACCTTGCAATATCCCACAACATATGCGCCAATATTTGCTCAATGCCCACTCCGCCTACGCTCTGGTCTTTTGCTATACGGGTTCCCAGGCTGCGGGAAAACACTTCTCGCAAGTGCGGTGGCTGGTGAATGCGGACTTAACTTCATCAGCGTAAAGGGTCCCGAGATCCTCAACAAATATATCGGTGCAAGTGAAAAGAGCGTCCGCGACCTATTCGAGAGAGCGGAGGCTGCTAGGCCTTGCGTTCTTTTCTTCGATGAATTTGACAGTATCGCGCCAAAGCGGGGTCATGACTCTACCGGGGTTACTGACAGAGTGGTCAACCAGCTTCTTACCCAGATGGACGGAGCGGAAGGCCTTTCAGGGGTATATGTCCTGGCAGCTACGTCTCGACCGGACCTCATCGATCCCGCATTGCTCCGGCCCGGACGCCTCGATAAGTCACTCCTGTGTGACATACCTTCCCACTCAGATCGAGTGGATATCATCCAGGCATTGAGCAAACAGCTTAAACTTAGCGACGAAGTGATGGAGCGTGTCGGGGAAATTGCAGATCGAACTCAAGGATACTCTGGCGCTGACCTGCAGGCGGTTGTTTACAACGCACATCTCGAAGCCATCCACGACGCGCTGGGCGACCGATCCTCCGACTCCACTAGCCCACAGAATAAATCGAAAGCACAAGCAATTACAAACGGCGTAAATCCAGGCGTCAATGGCACCAGCACCGGCCCAGAAAAATCTGCCAGAAAATCCTTCATACAGTTCCTCTACTCCTCGGACGAACATGCCACAGCGGTAGCATCTCGGAATCGCCCAACCAACAACACCTCACCCTCTCTACCACCCCCCGCTGTCGTGGCTGCGAGACTCGACGCGATTAAACAAGACCGCAGACGCCAACGCCAACTGGAACGGGAGGCATCGGATCCATCAGCTGATGCAGCCACAAACGGTCCCAATGGCGTCGCTGATGCGTATAATGACGCTAGTAATGATATCCATATCTGCTGGCCGCACATAGAACGATCTCTCGCAACCACTCGTTGTTCGATTAGTGACGTGGAGCGTAAGCGCCTCGAGGCTATTTATAGAGAGTTTGTTGTTGGGAGGAATGGGGAGATGCCTACTGGCGAGGGTGGACGGGATATTGGAGGAAGGACGAGTTTGATGTGATGCTTTTTTGGCCGTGTCTTTGTGTGTATTGTATATACCATTACAGCATTTCTTCACTTCTGCTGTATATCCACGTTCTTGCATTGCTTGTTGGTGTACGGAGGATAGTCAGATGCTGTATTTCTTTGTACTCGTTGTCGACTTAGAGATAGACTCGTTTTGGATATCATATCGCTTATAGCGCTTTTCTTCTCTCTTTCAGCTTGGGACTGAGGCCTAATTCTTTTGTATTTTGTTTCCCTAGCACCACCAACTTGATGGCAGGTATGATGATTGCACATTCCAATCCCTAATTGAGTAATTAATACGGCTACACAATAATCCCTACATCTTGACTGACTGACACAATCCAATCCACTGTCCAGCCAAAACCTGATGAGTATAAAATATACCCTTACTCCGTTCCTGTTTCCAACTCCCCAGCCCCATCAACCAATCTGAGTTCATCCCCGAACTTCTCATTGTTCCTAATGCCCAACCCTTTCATCCCACTAATCAACACCTCACGAAGCCGGATCGATAGAACGGTGTCATAGTCCGGATCCGTCGCTGGGCTTTCTCCATCGAACGTCAACTCCTCATATAAAGAAGCCGGAAGTTCAAAACCGGAAATATTCCGTGTAATGGATCGCAGAGTTTCCTTTTCCAGGTACCCTCCTGACCCCGACAACGGCCACAAGTCATATGTAGTGGTCGTCTCAATCTTTTCAGCCCACTCTACGTTCCCCTGAATCTTGGCTTGGAGATAAGTCATGATGAAACGGAAGAAGAGGAATCGAGTTGCGGGTCGGTTTGAGCTAGTCAGGAAGGCCAGCGGCTTACCATCCAGTTCCTGCCGTTGTAGTATCAGCAGCAGAATGTATCAGATGGCCGATTGCATACACTTCAGGATAACAGTTGAACTTACGTTCCATCTTGACGCATGGCCTGTCAAGTCGCGACTGAAAATACGATCCCGGTACGACTCATTTGCCAAAACACATCTCCACTCACTTGGGGTTGCTGCGTTTTCCGCCGGCATGTTTGGCACTATAGCGATCGCTCCCGCATCCATTGCCTCTTCAATCTTCGCATGTAGCGTAATCCCTAAAAGATGAACACCATTTATTTTAGCAAAAATCCCATACCTACGGATTGTTCCCTCTCACCATTCTTGCGATCCTCTACCGCCATATCACTATCGCCGAAGAGATACGCTAGTTCATCTCCTCTCATCCCTCTCGGCACAAGATGCGTCACTTTCACACTCCCTGCCTCCCACCAGCCCGTAACATGACAGTACATCTGGTACTCCCCTCCTTCCAGCCGCGATGCAGCGTGATACGCCAAAACATCACGACGGAACTTCGCCAGCCTGAGACCCACATGCCTTCCTGTTATCTCGTCAGACATAGACTTGGAATGTAGAGCCGCCGCGTATGCTCTCTCTAGCAGCGAAAGGGCTTGTAGTTGCTGGTCATCGTCCGCGTCTGCCTCATCTGCCTCTTTATCAGCCTTTATCCCCCCACGGCGCTTCGGGGCCAGTTCATCTTCTAGGTCCTGCTTCATAGCTCTTTGCTGACGGGAAAGGATCCGGAATTCTTCGACGAGTGGGCGACATCTACGATCCACGGAGACCATTTCATCCAGATAATCCTTTTCGCTTAAGGGCTTCTTCTCGACCAATGCCTGGCGGAGACTGTCCTGGTAACATCTGAAATAATCCAGTTCCGTGCGGCATTGTTGGAGTTTAAATTTGAGAATATCGGGTACGCTCGAAGTTGTGCCGCAAAGTTGTATCATTGTTGACGGGAGGAAGATTAAATTGGCTCGTTTATGCTCAAGAGCAGTTGGGCTTGTGGGAGCGAGTAGTGATGCGTGTCTTTCTGGTATTGTCGGGGCGGTGAGGGGGATGGGACGGGGGGTTTGCCTTGGGTGAGATGAAGAAGCCCCCGATGGAATCATTGAAGTTGCCATATTGAAGTATGTTTTTAGTAAAGGTATATGTATATGCGCAACTACCAACGGGAAAAAAAAGAGGAACTGGGGCTGAAAAGAGAGTAGTTCTTTATCCACGCTGCAACGGCGAGGACCACCCTTTCCTTTCGGAGGTCAGGAAGTCAAATCTCAGTTGTACGGGAAAAGCCATAGTTACTATCGATTACTTGCGCGGGGAAGATCACGCAGGTGTGGCCAGATCCCAGCAGTGACGGTGTTGCAACACATTATGGTGATAGTTGTGTAATAGGCCAGACTTTCTCTCAGTAGTCGTGTAATATGGAATGCGTAACAGCTCTTCTAAACTCGTCTTCGAATGAAAGAGGGCATGCCGTGATCAAAGAGGATAAAAGTTAAACAGTAGTGACAAATTTTGTCGATAGGAAAGCGATCAAACCCGGGGACACCAACTTCTATTTTTTAAACCTTAAGAGTGATAATAATGCAGAGGAAAAATGTACTGTATAGCATAATACCGAACACGATAAAGGGAGTAACACAAAGACAGCGATCTGGTCTAGGGATAGCAATCCTGGTCCGAGTATATCCAGAGAAATGCTCTCAAAGGTCAAACAGAAATGAAATGGAATAGGCAACAGAAAGGAAATAATATCGTAATAGTAAATAAAATATAAGTAGAATACACGACGAACCTCGAAATGAACCGGAATCCGTCATGTTGTATAACGGCGGAACGAATTTCAATTTATTGAAGAAGAGTTCAGTTCGCAGCCGGCATAGGAATTGGAGGCGGTACTCTCACTCTCTTTCCCAACTTCTCTAGCTCACCGACAATCCCCATTCCAGAGAGTGTCCATTTCTCACTAACGAATTCTTCGGTGACCTTTTCTCTCAGGATGCCGCTGAGCGCAAAGTATTCAAGCAAGCCCTTCGAATCTTTCTTACCTAGACCAGTGAGCCTTTGCGTCGTCAGATCTTTTGCATCATCTAGTAAGGCGAGGACTCGTGAGTCAGGGCGGCGGTATGGATCAGCGGTAGGGAATTCCGGCGAGTCTGCTGGGATGCCAGAGGTGCGAGCAGCGAGCTGTTTGAGCAAGATGTCGAATGTGTAGATATTTGGTGTATTTGAGGTAGATGTAGAGTAGAGGAGGAGCCCGCCGTTGGGGAGCGTTGGAGAGGAGCGATCTGACGATAGTAGGGAAAGGAAATGGTTGACCAGTGCGAGGTCGTGAGCGTGGATAACCTCATATTCGGCAGTGCGGTATTTGGAATTCGCCATCCAGTGCGCAAGGCCATCGACTGTGACCAGGATTGGTGGGCGGGAAGCGAAAGGCTTTAGGCCCTCAGCATCGGCAGTGGCTTTGGTTGCGGTTAATTCGGACCACAGAGCTTGGAATACCGACCAGGCGTGGGCAGTATCATCTATTCCCAGCTTGGCTAATTGTTCAAGGTTCATCTCGGGGCGAAATGGCGCCTTCAAATTCGGGTGGTCTTGTGAAATATGAAGTTTGGCAAGCACAGGCCCATTGGCAGTAACCATGCGCTGCAGCAGTGCAGCCACTGCATCCTTCTGCACATATTGTCCTGGTTCTGTGGTGGAGGGAGCGTAGGCAGTATGTGCGATCGTGAGGTCCTGGGCTATTAAAACGAAAAGAAAGCGGCATAACGGTTAGTAAAATGGGCGCATTAGTAGAAAAGATAATTCATCGAAGTCTTACCTTCAGGAATAGTGACAGTGACCCAGTTGTTCAACATAGCCAAGGTCATGGCTTGCGTCAAATGGACACTCTTCCCGGTCCCCTTGTCGCCAGTAATGATTCTCTTTACAGTTTTCCCTTTCATTTCGCTCTCGCCGTTCCCAATGCCACCGATTAACCTCCCCAGCTCGAGCGTCTCCTCTCTAACGAGAGTACCAGGTCTTCTAAACAGGCTCCAGCCCTGGGTGGTCTTGAAGGCGCGAGCGCCTCTCAATCGGTCCACTAGCGCCATAGGTAGTCCAACAATACGGCCGCGCAATTCGGCATTCGTCATATTCTCAATAGATAGCTCTTGCATATCTGGGACCTCGAGGGCGTTGGTGTTGCTTAGCACGATGCGTTGTCTCGCTGCTCTGCGTTCACCCACGGCCGGCGGGCGAGGCTTCTCACGCTTCGTTTTTTTGTTAATTCGAGCGGACCGGGATTCACGGAACTTGGGGCCTTCTGAGCGACCTGAACCTGGCTTCTTTTTCATGGGCAATGCAAGCGCGGGAGCAGTGGTGTGGAAGGGAGCGATTCGGAGGACGGAGGGCGGCTGCAACAGACGGGGAGCTGATAGGCGAAGCTTCGAAAAGCAGCCCCAGCAAAAGGAGGAGGAGGCCATTGTGGTACGAAGCTACTTCGTCGTGGTCAATGGCCTGCCAAAGCGATTGTTGGATGGATTGCCGCAGCGTGTGTATAGCCGTGATGTGATGCTGCTGAAGTTTGGGGGTGAAAAAGAGGCTCTTGGCCGGAAAAGATTCTAGAGAACCAAAAGCGGAAATGCCTGTCGCTGGTTTTGAGTGGAACATTTCGTGACTAAAAGCAGCAAGACAACTTCAGCTTAGTCATGGCTGGATCTGACTTCATTTTTATTTTTCATTGGGATCAGGTAAAATAAATTTATAAACTGAAGCGTTTGATCAATTTGATCAACGAATTACAAACACATTTTCAACAATCCTGGCAATCGCAGACATGGGTGAATCTACTTCAGCTTCCACCGCTGCTTCAACAGCTCAAGCAAAACCAAAACCAGAAAGACTGTATGTTCACCCTTAAAACTCCAATGTTGCGCATGCTCGTATCCCTCCAACCTTCACCTAAGCTCCAAGTTCAGAACGAAGCAAAGAAAGAAAGCATTTTACCAAATTCCCCTCCCTCCCCTTCTCTCTTCTCATCTACTTTGACCGCGCAGTTCAATCTCGAAGTTAACGAATATACTAATACTCCATCCAGCCCCATAACTGTCGAAAAACCCACCCCCTACACCTTCGACTTAGGCCACCTCCTCGCCCTAGACCCAAACCCCCTTACCCTCCCAAACAACACATCTCTAAACGCCGCCCTAGCCAGCACAGCGCGTGACGGTGCCCAATCCCTCCTCAACCAACTCCTAACAACCTGCCCTATAACCGCCACACCGCGCGACGGCATCCTCCTCTCCCTGCCCCCGCGAAACACCCTCCTCCCCCGCTTCAAACCACTCCCGGCCCCCAAGCAGCCGACGAAATGGGAGCTCTTCGCGCGCAAGAAGGGGATCGGCAAATATAACAAGAAGCTCGGTTCGGGCGGCGGGAGTGCGGAGGCGGAGCGTAGGAAGAAGTTAGTCTACGACGAGGCGAGCGGCGAGTGGGTGCCGCGGTGGGGGTATAAGGGGAAGAACAAGAGCGGGGAGAACGACTGGCTTGTGGAGGTTGATGAGAAGATGTGGAAGAAGGAGGAAGGGTTGAGTAGCGAGGGGAAGGGGATTAGAGGGCAGGGGAGGCGGGAGAGGGTTGAGCGGATACGGAGGAATGAGAGGCGGATGAGAGCTAATGAGCGAAGAGCGGGGCGTACGCAGGGGTGATAGATCCGATCCAGTGTGTGCGGTGACGGGCCATGCTGTTGTGGCATTCCAATTGTTTATTGGCGAATTGAAGGAATAAATAAAATGGAATGGGGCGGGGCGGGGCGGGGTTGGCTGGGAACTCTGATGTCTTTTATTTTTTTAATTTTTTAATTTTTTAAAAGGTCGCTTGGCGTTTTTGTTTGGTTTTATGCCGGGTGTCTCTCTGTATACACATCTCTCTACCATGTTTCTTCTTTTCTCTCATCGCCGTGTGCACTTGAGGGCAAATCATTATATGCTCCTCGGTGAACTAAATATATCCAGGGAGCTAAGATATCGTCGTCCGAACGTCCTAGTGGATTTTTTTGTAAAGGGGAAGCTTTGCTAGACGGAGTTGTCCGTCTGAACTGAGCAGAATAAAGTATATTCTATTGAAAGGAGCTTACCAGAACCTAATTACATAGATAGCTATTTAACTTCATGGATGCCAATTTCCCCTTTTACTTTCAGTTCAGCAAATGTTAACATAAATCAGAATGCATGCCTAACAACAAGATATTTATACAGTTACATCTGCAAACCCAAGTAAAACATTTCATAAACACCGGTGCCAAAGTTGATGAGCTAAGGCAAATATATAGAGTGAGAAATGAATAAGAAAAAGCCATCAGGTAGGAAAAAGTAAGGAAGGGAAAAGAGAAGAATGAAATATAAAAGGCTTAAACAGAAGGGGGAATGGGATTAAAAAAAGGAATGGAAAAAGGGAGGGAAAAAATGCTACATGATGACGCTGTAATGTAATGCCAAAGCCAGGACCTGTAAAAAGGGAGTCAAGAAGGGCCAGAACGGGCGAACCGGTTCAAAAGAAGGGCAGGGCAGCCAGGGAACACTCAGAAAGCCGACAAAGAAACCTATATGTAGGCGTAGAAAGCAAGGGCAGTAGAATCGAATGAGAGACGGCAATGAAGGATGATTCGCACAAGGCCGACAGACTGAAAATCGACAAACTAAAAGTATCAGGGGAATAAAAAACCTCACTTTAAGCGCCAGAGCATGCTTCAGGAGAGCCCGGAGAACAACAAAGGAACAGACAGAAAGAAGCAAAACAAGATTAGAATGCAAACTGTAAGTGCAACTCCCAAGAATAGAATAAAAGATAGCTCTGAGATGTTGCTTGCAAGTTGGAAACCAAGATAGAAAAATAGAAGAAAAGAAAAAGAGAATCACAACCAAACAAACTCGCTCAGAGTGAGTGCATTACAGCGAGGTAGAATTAAAAATTAAAATAAAATAAAATAAAATAAAAACTCCCGTGCAAAGACTAGCAGAAATTTTGAATGTAGATGTAAAAATGCATTTGTATGATGATTTTACACACAGCATTCTGAAGAAACTGCAACATCATGCCTCCTCTTGAGTATTGTGTTTGAGGAAAGGTATGGGTGCAGTTGGTGATAGAAAATGTGACATTCCCACAAGGCCTTCAATTCAACTCCATTTCTTCTTCTAGAAATCCAGTTGGCTTCTGTCCTGGGGATTCAATATTCCAGGGAGTGATCCTCGTCCAAAAACAACAACTATCCATCTCATTTGATCAAAAACAGATTCGCATTTTCATACGTCCGGTTTGCTCTAATATACTACTTTATCTCTATATCCCTTTAGAAAGAAGTGGCTCTAAATCTTCATAGGCGACAGTGGTGGCCCAAGCTCAGGTAGCTGAGATGCAGAACGTGAATGCGAGCTGTTAATACTTGGTGGTGCTTGTTTTCGTCCGCGTCTCGGGCTCGTTGAGCGGTTGGATGTCTGCGTCCTGCTGCCAATGGGGGCCGCGTTGGTATTGTTATTGTTGTTGTTGTTGTTGTTGTTGTTGTTGTTGTTGTTGTTCGTGTTGCTGGTGCTGGTGCTGGTGCTGTTGTTATTGCTGTTGGCTGTGGTGGTTGTAGTGGTTGTATTTGGAGCCTGGCTACTGCTACCTGACGACGAAACGGCTCTGTCATCAACAACCGTCTCCTTTGCGTTCGTACCCTCCTGGGCTTCAGTAAGAGCCTTCCTTTCCACCTCGAGTTCGATTGCCAGATACTCCTTCTCCGTCCAGCAGCCCTGCCAGCAATTCTTCCAGTCGCAGACGAGGAACTGGAAACAGAAGCCGTCGATTTTCATACATGGCTGGAAGCAGATGCAGAGGTTGCGATAGTCCATTTTGTTCTTGTCGACGTAGGAGTGCAGGAGGCTTAGGTGGCAGGTTATGGCGAAGAGGAGGTAGTAGTTGAAGGGAGGAAGTTTGGATAACTCGTCCTTGAGCATTTGCGGGGCGGTTGTAGCACCCGCGCACTTTTCTGCGATCATAGCCTGCGTTGCTTTGGGAAAGATTTCATCAGGTAGCTCGCGGAGCCATGCCTTGAACATCGATCCAATCGTGTTGATATCGTATAGGTCCGGTTCGTCAAATAGATTAATGTCGTATTCTTCAAAGTAAAAACGAAACCAGTTAGTACAAAATGATCAGATGCCTTAGAATAAAGGAAGCAAAACATACCTGTATCAAACCTCCTCTGCCAATGCTTAACATCCTTTCCACTTCCTGGGACTCGATAAAGGCCCTCCTCCTCACACCCCTTAAAATTTAAATAACTGGCAAACTATGTTAGTGAAGGACATCGACCAAAGGGCTATCTGACGAAGAAAAGTAACATACTCGATACATCTCCACGGCAGAGCCGGCATCCAATACTCAGTTTTATCTTTCGATGCTTCTAACCGTTTCGAAATCCGCGTCCGCCGAGTTTGCTCCACCAGCGGAAGATTAATGACTCGGCAGGTATACGTGTCATCTACAGGGAACTCCCGTTCATTGCTACTCCCACTCCTAGTGATTTTACCGAAAAATCCCTTCCCGGCTTTGCCCAGACGGTCAGCCGCGCCGCTGGATGTTTGCTTTAGATTGTTGAATAGCGACGCGCCGGAGACCTGGCTCAGCGACGAAGAGGATGTCAGTGAGCCTCCGTGTCCTAGATGTCGCTGGGATTTGGAAGGGGAGTGATCAGCTGCTGGGCGGTCGGCTGATCGGTTTCTGACGGAGGAACCCATCACCTCCTTGAACATTTTGTCTGGTTGTAATGGGGCGGTTTTCAATGGCGGTTGGGTATTATTGCTGCTTCTGCTGATTTCCTCTAGACGTAGTAAACCGTAAGATGGTCGTCGCGAAGGTGGATGGTTTTTACCAGTGGCATAGGAATCGTCCATTCTAATGGATCGTGACCGAGTTAGAATGTTGGCGAAACGAGGTTTGCTTTTTTTGAACGCTAAATTGTAATCAGTTACGCTTTCCTTGCGTAGAGATTGATCGTCATTCCGGTTGCCTAAAATATACCTCATAGTCAGCTTTCATGCACTTTTTCGCCTCTTTATCACTTTGCTTTTGCACATAAAGCAGCAAAGAAAGAAAAAGAGAGGGGGAGAAACAAAGAAAGGCGGAATATTTCCCCACCATTTGTTCTTTCAGCACGACCGGAGGAAGTTGGTGAATCCACAGAGGAACCATTCCGTCCCCGACTAGATATATTCACTGCCCTATCCTTCGAACTACCTCGACTTGGTGGGGGTTTGCCATCAGCCGTCTGTTTATCGGGACCATCCGACGATTGAAGCCTTTGGCTTGACTTGGATGCCTTGAGGTTGGAGAAGAACGAACGCGACGGGTCTCGTCCATGCTTAGTGGATTCTTTGGGAGAAGGTGGATATTGCGGGATTGCGGTTATACCTGGCGTTTGTGGCACTTCATTGTTCTCTTCAACAGCAGAAGCATTTGGTGATAGGGAGCCAGGCGAAGTTTTCCCCGTCAAAGGCCTCATTACAGACCCTCTGGAATATGGAGACGTAGGAGACCTGGGTGATGTGGGGCTTAGGGGGCTCAATGGCGAGCGGGGGTTCTGAGAGAGTTCATTGAAGTTGGACGATCCCAGCTCTAAATGGGGAGCTTGGGATGTCTTTTTTTTTGCCATTGTTACCAATGGAATATTGCTGTTTCGGGTAGGCTTTGTGAGGATGGGTAAGTGGGAGTCGGGAAAGAAGAACCTCTCAGCTTTCCCTTGAGGAAACCCGTAAGACGGTGGACAGTAAGAGAACGGGAGGCGGGAGTAAATCAGCACGGCCGGTACGATAGATGATGAAGACGGCCCGTCCTGTTGTGAACTTTGTGAGTTAGCCATGATTGCGGGCTAGGTTGCGAGAAGGCACTTCTGTCACCAAGCAAGACAACAATCCAAAAAACAAGAGGACCATAGCGATGTAGATATATACAAAGCTATCTTCTATATACATATACACATATATATATATATATACGCAGGTCATAAAATAAAATTAGGGAAACATAAGTAAACGGATATTACTTACGTTTTAAGACCCTTTTTAATAAGACGTCACAGAACACGCTGTGATCTCCTATTTCGTCCCCACCAATGCCCTCAGATGGAGGGCACTGCAACGTGGACTACCCTGGATGAACCTGCGAGTGATTTCCTTCCCCCCCCCCAGCGGCGCTGCAGCGTCCAAAAGCCGGTTGCGAAGTGAAACGGTTGAATTTAATCCAAGCCACGCTGCGCAACCCTGGAAGAGGTCTTAGGGATATCCGTCTTAATTTTGTTGTTGATAAGGTTAATTGCAGGTAAGTAAACGCATTCGGGGCTTTCGAAAGGGAGTCGGATAAGAAAGATGGGAAGAAAAAGGGAATCGATGATGTTGCACGAGGCTGCTGGTTGTGCGACGAGTGTATTAGTTTTGCGATACAAAGCGAATTGGAAACCCAACAAAAACCTAAACGACGCACACCAGAATGGAGAACCGCAATGCAATAAAATAAAATAAAATACAGGGTTAGTCTAGGGCGAGGGCGCATCCTGCGGCAAATGGCGGGAGGGAAATATTATTATTATCGAGGCGAGCGGCCGCAGGAAGCAGAGACAAGTGAGATGAGGTTGGATGAGAGAGGAGAAGAGATTGAGAGATGCAAAAGTAACTAAGTTGGACAGAGGCGAGTAGGGAACCAATCAATCAATCGAGCGATCAATCAATCGAGCGATCAATCAACCAACCAATCAAATCAAATTAAATCACAGGCAACGAACAAGATAGATAGATTATTGCTTAGATGCTTCATCCAGGTACAGGAGAGGAGCCAGGCAGGAAAGCTGCGTGTAGCCGTAAAAGTGATGCGCGACAACAATGAAAGGAAGGGCGGACACGGGCGTCGAAGGGAAATGGAAACCGAGGCAAGCAAGAAGCATACATACATACAGCAAACCGGTTCTGGGGCCGTTCTTATGCAGGTAAAAGGTAGGAGAGGATTAAATATCTAGCCCGTATGTGATCTTTATGCGTCTTGTGTTTTGTCTTTCTACGTCTGTCTATGAGCACAGAGGGAACGAGAGGAGAGTGCGAGAGCGAGAGAGAAAGAGTCGGACAAAAGGACGATGTTAAGAGGAGGTGGTCGAGGAAGGGATTGCTGTTGCGAGTTGGTAGTTGTAGGACTCTGGAGGCGGACAAAGGACAAGCAGAAGCAGGGCAGAGTGAGTTACTTGGAATGTTGGGTTACAACAAACGAGGTGGTCGGTCCACAAGGGTCAGTTCGTCTGTCCTTCAGTGAGTCGGATAATGTGAGACAGTGGACGAGACGAGAGAGACGGAGAGACGGAGAGAAGGAGGAGGAAAGATGGGGGATTATTGGAAGAGAACAAAAAGGAGGAAGAAAAACCAAAAAAAATAAAGAAAGAAAGAAAGACATGAAGAACAAAAGAAGGGTGGGATGGAAGGGAGGATGAAGAAGAAGAAGATGATGCTGCGCCGGTGCGGTGGAGAGGAGATATACGCAGTACAGTACGGAGTAGAGTAGACCAGACCGCCAGCCCAGCCAAGCCTGATGGAATGGATTTGATGCGGATGTCGTGATGGTTGTGGCGGGTCAGTGGTCAGTGGGTTAGCGGTCATTAGTTATTAGTTAGTGGTCATTATTAGTTACTGCGTAGTTACTCCGTACTCCGTAGTTGGTCAGTGGTCAGTGGTCAGTACTAATGAGTAGTCGTCAAGTGGTCAGTGTCAGTGGGTTCATACCAACATACCTGCTGGCGGTGGAGTTAAGCGTCCGCCCACGTGTGGTTAACTGGCTCCCTTCCCTGGCGCTATAACAGAGACATCGCCTAGGCCCGATCCGGGCGGTACCTGGATTCCGAACCCTCTCCTCCTCCTAACGGCAAGGCAAGCACACTACGGAGTACGGAGTACACTTTTGCTATTAATAGCTAGCTTTACAGAGAGACATCATCCTACGTACGCTGCGCTACGTATCGTATATACCTTTGAAGTGTGGTTATCGATTCGAATTTAGCAAGTGTAAAGATAATGAAAGACAGCAAAATGCTGGAGAAAACTGTCCGCTCTAACCATCTAATGTAGTTAGTTAGGGGCATAGTTAACTATCTCCCCTCCCTCCCCTTGGGATGGATGGCCAGGGCTTCCAAGTTCCAGGGGGCTCCAGGGGCTCTCGCGCGCAGGGAATCTCGGACCTGCGTAAAGGCCACGCAAAACACACACTCACTTCCTCTGCAACACCTACGGAGTACCGTCCGTAATATGGTGTCCTGTCTCCTCTTGCCTATCCAAACCATTTTGGATCCTGACTTCAAAGAGTTGTTGGTTCTTATTATTATTACCCCATCATCCCACGAAACCAGTGCAAGACAGGAGGAATAGAATATTTAATAATAAGGAATAATGATAAATGATATCCTGACGCCGTTGCTGGTCGGTCGGGCGGAAGAACCCACTCACCCACCCCCATCCCCCCATCCTGGGCCAGATAGTTAAATAACGGGCCATCCATTCGCTAAGTCGATGGTTACCACGGGGCTCGGTGCAGCACTTGTTTAGTAGGCGAATCGTCGGTCTCGTCCTATCCTATGCTTGACTCTTGAAAGTTGAAGAGACGCTGGGAATATCATCGCCAATCAATAACGAACGAACATTAAATGAGAATGAGTTTGGTGAGAAGAAAGATATCATTTCAAAGAAGCTTGGCTCGTTTGCTACTACCGAAGCATACTCGCTGCGTTAGCCAAGTCTCTGCAAATATTCCAATCAAGCTTCTTCAATTGAGTTGCGCCCCTTTGCTGGTTTCCTTTTCAAACTGTAGCCTGTACATGTACACATACATGTACCTCATATCCTAATAGATGCGACCTAGGACAGGAAGTTTTCAGGTACCGGGATACACTATGTGGACCTTCCATCTAAAATCCTGCGTCAATTTTTTTTTTTTTTTTTTTTTTTTTTTTTTTTTATTTATTTTTATATTTATATTTATTTATATTTATATTTATTTTATTCGTTGAGTGATATAAAATAACTCAAACGGAACGCATTCAGGGGGAAGGAATATCCAGTAGCGCGGTTTGTATACGTGTCCCTACACCTCCCAACCTTACCTGTACCCGTAGATTTCTCCATCATTCAACAACAATGGGGATAGGGGAATCGCTGCCCTTGCTCGGCGGTTAAAACTCGACCTACTACAGCCGTTTTACCCCAGTAACTGCATCAACTGTCCTGTATGTACAGTACCACTTATGTACTGTACATACAGGTATATACTGCATCAAGGAAGAGAGGGGGGCCGCACTGCATGAGTCTGCGTGGTACCTCTGATGGCAGTGGTAACTCGCAAGAGGGGGGAAATTCGGGGTACTTCCGCACATGTCTCTGCATTAGTTATTCCGTTGAGGTGATGTTGTTTCGTTCATGTCACCGCTCTTCTAGGTTTAGGTTACCGTTAAAACCTCTTCCCCCCCACCCGCGAGGTAAATACCTGGGAACACTGATCCTGGGTAAGGGGAAGGGAAATGCAAGAAAGAAGATATAAAAATAGCGCCCAAGCCTTTAAATCTAAATAATGAGTGGACTGATGAATAACTTCAATCCGTTAAATTATTGGCCAAGTCCTTAGGCTCGAACTCGAAAACCACTCGTTGAACCTCCATACGGGGAGTATACGTGCCCCTTACACCCATGGAAGGGATTTTCGGCTCCCTCTGTCCCGTCGTAGTCCGGTGCATTGACGAGTGTGTTTTCAATGGTTACATAGGTATCGTGTGTGGTTGTACTCCAAATGCATGAACTTACGCAACACTTCCTTGCTCAAAGTCATATAAGTGACGAAATCTCCCGCATGACGATCCGATATATTCACACCTGGTAGATGTTGCAAAGATGATTCAGATTTGGTCACAAGCAAACGGTAACTTCAAGCATCCCATTCTCCCTCTCCCCCAAAGCAGAGCGCGGTAAAAGCCATCCATGAAAATCGGTGGGCCCTAATCCGGGGTGGCGCTCGTTGCCGCCCAAGATCCCAATTTCTAAGAAGTACTAGACAGACGTCATCGGGTATTTGGCGGGCGATTCGCCTGCCACATCCAACAGTTACTGGTAACGTACTGCAGTGTGTTTTTTCGATGCAGTACCCTTCATAAGTAGCACTGCTGCTGAAGAGTGCAGGGACTTATTTTTGACCAGGGGTACGGAAGGGAGAATATGCACAAAGACTACAGAAATGCAGGGCTTTCGCGCTGTTGTTGCCCCTCTTATATTATATCCGATCCCATCCCATCCCATCTCATGGGGATAATGAGTGGTGAATTTTGTGCGTGGACATACGACTTTCTGGTTCTGTAGCATATTTGTCTCAATCATCATTATCGTCATCATCATCATCGCGTCAAAATGATGATTGCCAAGTCCAAGGGCTCGGACCTTTGTTGTTCCGGAGAATCGGACCAGGGGGCTGAATTCCTTGTAAAAAAAAAAAATACATTCCCTCCATCAACCTCCCCCTAATGTATATGTACGCCTACTGACCCGTTTATAATTATGGACGTTATGAATTGTCGCATGCTCTGATAACCTACCCAGGTCCCCAGGCACGGAGTTAAAACAAAAAGAAAACCATAAGCAGGAGCCTGGTCCACTGAATGGCATTTGTTGAACTTAAAAATAACTTTCTCCATTCCATTCTGGAAGCACTTCTTCCTTTTTTTTTTTCTCTTTCTTACTTCAGACTAACCTCAAGTTCCCCTGCCGCTTGACTTGTGTGTTTTTTAGGCCGCTTGTCCGTACCGATGTCTTTAGTTTCAGGCCCTGGGAGGGGTGGTGCGCTAGACTCCGTAGGCGGGGAGCTCTGTGTGCAGAAACATGTAGACTACATCAAACGCCTTGACACAGTGCGTACTGCCTTTTTAAGACTCTTTTATTTCCACATGCCGATACCAGAGTTGTTTTCGCAAGTTATTGTGTTGTTAACAATTAGCTCTTCACCAGCGGAAAGATGAATTGGAATACTGGCTTACAGAACACCTGCGTTTGAATGGAGTTTACTGGGGTCTGACCGCGCTCCATTTGCTTGGGCATCCCGAGACATTGCCCCGCGACGAGACTATTGCCTTCGTTCTAAGCTGCCAGCATGACAGTGGCGGCTTTGGTGCCGCCCCGGGTCATGACGCTCACATGCTATATACTGTTAGTGCGGTTCAGATCCTCGTGACGATTGATGCCGTCGATGAATTGGAGAAGCAGGGCCGGGGAGGGAAGGAGAAAGTGGGCTCATGTATGGCCATATATATCTTGGATGATTTGTGGACTTCTACGGGAACTGCGCCGGCTAATTCTTTTCCCCTTTCCTTTGTTTCCCCCCCTCTAGTTATTGCGAATCTTCAGGATCGTTCTACGGGAACGTTCAAGGGCGACGAATGGGGGGAGATAGACACACGTTTCCTCTACGGTGCGCTTAACGCCTTGTCCTTATTGGGTCTCCTTCACCTTGTCGATGTTCCCAAAGCCGTAGCCTATCTACAGTCATGTGCGAATTTTGATGGCGGGTTCGGAGTTCGTCCAGGGGCAGAGTCCCATGCGGGTCAGATATTTACTTGCGTTGGAGCCTTGGCGATTGCTGGCCGCCTTGACTTGGTCGATGTGGACCGATTGGGTGGTTGGCTAAGTGAGAGACAGCTGGATAACGGTGGGCTGAATGGTCGACCGGAGAAGCTAGAGGATGTCTGCTACAGCTGGTGGGTGGCAAGTAGTCTAGCTATGATTGGCAGGCTTCATTGGATTGATGGAGCCAAGCTGGCTGCCTTCATTCTCCGTTGCCAGGTAGGTTGAACTCATATCTATTTTTGCTGAAGACCCGCGCGAACTTGTCATTGAGAAAGAAAATATAGGACCCAGGTGAAGGTGGGATAGCAGATCGACCAGGAGATATGGTTGATGTGTTCCATACCGTTTTTGGGATCGCTGGCCTGAGCTTACTGAAATATCCTGGCCTCGAGGAGGTCGATCCGATCTAGTACGTTGTTCTGCCCCCCCTATCTTTCTTCTTTTTTTTTTTTTTTGGGAACACCATCTGATAGGTAAAAAAGTTGTATGCCCAAAGCAGTCACCAGCAGGGTGTTAGGGAAATAATATGTTCGTGGTATATGTAATGTGTCTAGTAGCTTCGAGTAGGCAATTCTTTTTTATCTAAGAGTCGCTGAGAGAAGCGCTGTATTATTTATTCCACGAGCCATTCCTTGTCCCAAACAAAAAAAGGAGCATAACAGCGACCTCCCGCAATCTAATAACCCATTACCTGATACACGATAGGCATTGGGATACAAGGCAGGAGAAAAACAAATATCTGCGTGGTTTTTTATCCGCTTCTTGTCACCTCGGATCGCACTCACGTCGAGGTTATAGGAACCAGAGAACATTAAGGAAAAAACAAGAACAACGTAAAACCCACCTCACCTATTCCCCTATATAAACAATACAGTCACCTTTGTTGATATACATACAACCCAGTGGGCCTTGTGAATATCATCACCTTCCCTTTCGATGGCTTCCATCCTCTGGGCGGAAGTTCCATTTTTTTTTCTGTTCTTGCCCTCTCAATTTTTCCATTCTGGTAATACCGCGGTATTACCACGCCATTCTCTTATCTCTAACCTACGTATATCAAAATACGATACTGTTTTCATGTTCCCTCCCATGACTGCACTTGCCTCCCCTGGATGTTTGCTGTTCCTCAACGACAAAACATCCCAACTTCGCTGTCTCTCTCGTCAACTCTTCAACCTCACCTTCTCAACCTCTCTTCTACCGCCCTCAACCAGCCGCGAAGAGAGACCGTTCTGTTGTTCATTTCTAT